CTCGTGNGTCCCCCCCCCCCCCCCCTCTCCTCCTACGTACACGTCACAGGGTGTGGGAGCTGATGGCTACAGTTACTGGGGATCACACTAGCTCTCGCTGCTCGACCACTCCGTCACACCTCCCTCTGCCCCCTCGCGCGCACTCTCTTCCTCCTAGGCCCAACCTTTGCCCTCCTAGCCCCTCTAACAGTCGAGCTCCGCACCCATTCCCTCCTCGCCGAACCAGCGCGTACCCGAGTTAGGGAGTCCTTAGCGCGTATGAGGCTGGAGAGTGTTAGATGGTGGGTGGACGTTAGGCGGGAGAGGGAGAGGGGGGAGGTGGGCAGGGTTGGGAGAGGGTGGGAGAGGGAGGAGGAGGAGGCGGGGAGGTTGGAACCGGAGGGCACTACTTGGGGTTTGGGGCATTAGGCATTAGTGGGTCGGTGTGCTGCATTATCCGATACCTGTGCAATGCAACGCTTACGACGCTGATAAAATAGCTATCGGCAAGTCGTTCCCCACTGGGGAAGACGACCCAGGGCACCTTCCCCTTCGACCCGTTGTAGGGCATGTCGGCGTGGTGGGTCTAGGACGTGTAGCAGGCGGCGCGGAAGTAGGACTCGACTTTCTGGCAGTAGTAGGATGTGCTTGGGTGCGAGGGGGGGGAGGGGACGGCGTGGAGTTCTAGAGACATGTTGAGAGTTGGGGGGTTGGACGGGCGGGTTGGCGTTGGCGTTGGCGTTAGGAGTGGAGATCTTTCCTGGGTTTATTTAACAGTTTCGTTTGCACAGTCACCACACAGGTCCACCCAAGGGATCAAGGAATGTAACCTAGACATGCTGCGGCACAGTAACCTTCGTTGATGGTCGCCTTCTCCCACCCTGAAGGAGTCATCATATCAGCAATCCCGTTATATGAAATCATGCACGTGTTGATCTTGTTGACTTCTTGTGTTGTGAGCCGGTGAAGAGCGCCGCTTTTTGAGCGGAGATGTTCGCGCCGCTCTGCTCTGACTGGGTGTGGTGAACAAGGATGAAGGAGAACAGTACTATTACACCAGAAATCAGAACGCAGCAGCCTAAACCAGGCTGACGAACATGACTAAACCACCAATCTCAAGATCCCATCATACTCCGGGAACCACGCCTCCGTCAAGCCCTTCACATACGTCTTCAACGGCGCGTTTCCCAGCACCCACTTCTGCACAAACACCGTCCCCCGCGTCTCGAGGCACGTCACAAGCCAGGCATAGACGACCACGTCCGCGCTCGTCGGGCGCTCGCCGAACATGTACTTGCTTCCCTCAAGCCGGGCAACGACGTTCTCCAGAAACTCGCTCAGCATATTCCTCCACTCCCCTGGCGAATGCCTCCCAACACCATGCTGCCACAAGAACTTGTGCACGTCTCGCTGGACCCACCACGCCCCTACTCTGCGGAGCGCACTAGGCTCGCCAAACATCTGCAAGCAGAGCTCGGCATAGTTCTCCTTTTCGAGAAAGAGAGTGCAGCACGTGAGCGGGTAGAGGAACTCGTCCACCTGGGCGACCCACGCTCTCGCATCCGCTTTCTGCAGCTTGCTTAGCCCGGCATCGGCGTCCAGGTCTCGAATTGTGCCTTGGGAAACGAGGTGGCGCATTATAAAGTACGTATCGCCAAGCTTCTCTCCGGAGGGGAAGACGACGAACGGGATCTTCCCCTTGGGCCCGTTGGTTGAGCCGTCGACGGATTCCCTGTAGTCCTTGTACCCGGCTGCGCGGAGGTAGGTCTCGAGCTTCTGGCAGTAGTAGGAGATGTTCGGGCACGCGTAGGCGTGAGGGAAGACGTGCAGCGTTAGTGTCATCGTGCTTGGTTTTCGTTGTCGGATTGCCTGGATTGTGACGTTCCCCCAAGGTCGATTTTATACCGCCTCAGCGCGCTCGTCGTCCATGATTCATAGGTCGTGCGCAGCGCGGACGACGAGCCAACACATATAGCACACGACTGCGGCAGGTCACAAAAGAGTAATTGTCATGATGGTACGAGTCATGGACAGAAAGTCCATGACTGTCTACGGTGTGGAAAGTGCAGACCCTCGAGGCGGTGTTGATGCTGCCGTTAGACATGAGCAACACGTGACTGTCATGTCTCTCTTTCCTTATCTCAACATCCCCTCAAGTTCAAACAACGACTGCGCAGGTAAATGACACGTCAAGAAAGCATCGCATTTTCAGAAAAAGCAAACAAGTCCACGATCCGTCCCCTTGTCTACAGATGCTTATGGAACACCAACGTCTCAGCAGTACTAGTAAGGTCCAACAACAGCTCATACTCTGGGAACCAGAGCTGTGTCAACCGCTGCACGTAACTCCTCAGCCTGGGGCTGTTCAGGATAAGGAAGGAGATCGCCTGGTTGCATTTCGTGCTCAACACGCTCGCCAGCCAGGAATAAAGGATCACGTCCAGACTCGTTGGGCGCAAGCCGCCGTACACGTATCCGTTAGGCGTCTCGATCGCGAGCAGCTTGACCTCGATATTGCGCACGGCATCTTCCAGTTGGTCCGCGATCTCGTACTTGTCGTACCGGCTTATCCCGTGCTGCCTGAGATGGATGAGCATGTGTTGACGGACGGATACCGGGTCGGCGCTGCCGTCCGCGAGGAAGGGGATGCCGAGCTCGACAGACTCGGAGAGGAAGACCGGCCAGTTCTTCTCGTCCCGATAGCGGGTGAGGAGTGTTGCGGGGAACACGGATTCCTCGATAAAGACTATCCTGCATGAGCAACATCACCCTTCGTTTTGGTGAGAAGCGCACTCACTCTGCCAGACCTTGGTATCCACCCTCCTCTCGGCCGACAACCCAGCATCAAGATCTTTCAACATGCCCATCCCCACCAGCTCCCTCACCGCCCTAAAATCTTGTTTCTTCTCGCAGTCATCTTCGAACGTCACGAACGGGATCTGCAGAAAGTCCTTCACAGAGCGCGTGGGCACATTAGAGGACCAGTGCGGCACAGTGACGTAGTCTTGGTCGCTCAACCAGCCGGCGGCACGAAAGTACGTCTCGAGCTTTTGGCAGAAGTAGGAGTGCTTCGGCATCGACGCCGGCTCGCCAAAGTTGTGTAGCTTGATCGACATGGTTTTTCGTTGACCGGGGGGGAGAGCTCAGTGGTGGACGGGTGGATAGGAAAACTGGAGGGTTTGACGGCCCTCGTGTACCTCCCGTACGTCCTCTTTATGTTTTGCTGGAAAGCACTGTCGGTACTTCCCACCCTCCGGTCCCCATTCGGTGCTTAATCGCATCTCTTCTAACTTCGTTGCATGTCTATTCCCAGTAAGGCTCATACTTGCTTCTAGCTCACAACCAGATATCACCAGCAGACGGAAGACGCTCCCTTGGGTTTATAGCCTCCCACGCGGCATGACAGAACGTTTATGAGGAAGAAAGGAAGAACGGATGGATGGTCTGCGGGGAGGCGCAGTGATGTGCTGGCATGGAAGCACAGAAGCAGGAGCAGTTTAGAGCCGTAAATTGACTGCCGGCATGAAGAGGTTTGCATCACCGGTCGGCGCTTTCCTGCCGCCGGTTTACTTCTACATCGCACTCTATTTTCGATTCATTAGGAGACTGGAAAGATGACCCGATGCCATCTGTTGCCAATTGAACAGTGTTCCAGACTGTCAGAGAATGCCTGCTGATACAACACTGACGATGCTAATCACCAGATCCTCCTAGCGATCCCCTGTGACCGCCAGGATGCCCTCATACTCCGGGAACCACAGCTTAGTTAGCTCGAACACCCACCTTCTAAGCCTCTCACTCCTGACTACCCCCTCCCTCTGCACAGGGTTACACCCCGTACACAGCACGCACACAAGCCACGAATACAGCACCACGTCGATACTCGTCGGTCCCTCGCCGGAGAAGACGAACCACGCGCCCTCGCCCGAGTGTTGCCCAACCTTGAGCTCGATATTCCGGATTGCGTCGTCTAGCAGCTCCCGGATCTGAGGCTTGGTATACCGACCCGTCCCACGCGCCCAGAGCTGGCCGAGCGCTCCCCGCCGGATGACATACGCTAACGGGGCCCGGGCGAGAAAGGGGATTTTCCCAAGTGCTTCGGAGACGAACGTTGCCCAGTTCGTGTCGTCCCCATAGCGAGTGACGACGTTAGCGGGAAAGACGGTGTCTTCGATGTAGCCTGCCCGTAGTGAGCTCGATATCTCTTCAGATGATATTAGATAGATCGAACGCACTCTGCCAAACCCTCGTATCCATCTTCTGTTCCTCACTCAACCCCGCATCAAGATCCCTCACCATTCCCCTCCTCACAAGCTCCCTAACAGCCCAATGACTATCCGCCAACTTCTCCCCTCCCTCGAGCGTCACGAACGGCAGCTTCCCCTTAGGCCCCCCGCTGGGCAGCGAGGCGACAGTCACGTACTCCCTATACCCAGCAGCGCGAAAGTAGGTCTCGAGTTTCTGGCAGAAGAAGGACTGCTTGGGGATACTCGGCGGTTCGCCAAAGTTGTGTAGTTTGAGGGGCATGATGTGGGTCGTTCAGTATTAGAAAGGTGTTGGCATTCATGGTGTGGTTATATACTTGGGCGGGTATGAGGCTGCGGGAGGCGGGCTCGGGCGCCATGGATCACGAAGAGCAGTTCGCCGGCCGTCTGATGGAACGATCCGCCCACTCGGAGGAGACGGGATTCCCTAATAGTACTTTCAGCTTTGATATGACGACACTAGCATTGTTGATGGATAATACTTACAACAGAAGCATGCTATGATCGTCCTGTACAGTACATGTTGAGGTCGTGTGGTTCTAAGCTTCTTCAACGTTGTCAGCAACTAGGGTTCTTCTAACAATATCAACTTGGTTACATTTCTGGCTATGGCTTTTATTCTCAAAATAATTGTCAACCTCGATCAATGACCTCTGTTTAGCACAGCCGAAGTGAGTACAACGTACGCTCGATTGAGGAAGACTGATCACAAAAGTAGTAATTTTCGTGCACAACAAGCAAGCACCACATTCATCATTCCACCTTCCCCTTCTCCAGAATCTCTTTCACGACCCTCTCGCTCAACGTCCACAACGCCTCTCCCAGCTCTTCCCGCCTCGCCAACTCGCTAGGCTCCGCCACCTGACCCCAAGGCACCAGATACTGCCCCTTGAATTTCTCCTTGTCTTTCAGCATCTCTGGGGACGTAGCTGCGAAAAGCGCTGTTGTTGCGCCTTGCAGTGCGCTCCTGAAGAAGGGGGCGACGAGGGGCCAAAGAAGACCAGCTCCAAAGGTCCGAATCATCCGTTCCAGTCCCTCTGCAGGAGAGTCAACATCACTACTTAGGACAAGGAGGCAACGCACCAGTAGCGACGTCCCCCGGATGGAGGGATACTGAGACCGCAGGAACGCCAGCCACGTCCCAGCGTTTCTGCAACTCACGGGCGAAGAGGATATCCGCGAGTTTGGCTTGCGCGTACCGGTCTCGCCGTTGGACGTTACTGTTCATGGTAGACTCGGGCCCCGCGAAGTCCCGGAAGTCGGCTGAGGTTTCGAATTTGGTTGTGGCTGGGGCGGTGGAATGCTGTGAGGAGGCGACCTTGGAGGTGTCAGTTGTGAAAGGAGGAGAGGAGGGCTTGACGCACTGTGACTACTCGTACGTCTGAGCCAGGAAGCCTAGCGGTCTTCTCGAGCAATGGAAGGAGGGTGGTCGTGAGCACAAATGGGGACACATAGCTGCGAACTTTGTCAGAGTCGATACCGTTGTTGCATTGAGCTCACGAACTCGGCGGCGAACACTTCTGACAAACCTTCTGAGGTTAATTTGTAATCAGAGGGCAGTTGCGCAGCGTTATTGACTACTGCAGTCAGCTGGTGTACCATATATAACGATGAGGGTGGACAAACCGAGGATATCAAGCCTCTCTTCCTTCTTCAAGAACCTCTCTGCAGCAGCTTTCGTGCCCGCAACCGAGTTGAGCTCCAAGACAAACCAATTCAATCTCCCGGAGCCCTTCAAGCTCTGGTCAGCTTCTTCCATCCTCCGCACCGTATCCAGTGCCTTGCCCTCCGAACGAGTCGTGAGCCAGACTTTAGCGCCGTGGGAAGCAAGTTGGAGGGCTGTCTGATAGCCCATACCCGAATTGGTGCCCGTGACGAGGGCGACGCGTCCCACGAGATGGGGGATATCCGTAAGGGGGTTGAACCGGCGTGCGAAGAAGGAGAACATTAGAGCTTAACTTTGGACGCTGGTGGACTGAGGGAAGAAGAGACTGTATTTTTGAACATTAGACCACGGCCTTCACCGGACTTGTATTTGTAAGAATGATGGTCGAGGAGGCGCACCGTCATTGTGGCAGAAAGCGCTGTTGGAATTGCCGGAGCCGAGTTTCTTCCACTCTTGTTTTCCGTCGGGCAGAGCCGGATACACACACATCTGTGTAGCCGTTAGATCATGGCGGGGACTCCGGGCAAGAACTGTTACTAAATTAAATGCACAAGATCCAGGAAGTGATCGGTCTGGTGTGCTCTAAGTTGCATCCAGAACTACAATGTCTGATCGTGGGGCAGAACCAAGACTTGTTTATCCACAGCATGAGAAGGCGAAACAAGTGTGTGCAGTTAATGTATGCAGCATTCTGTTTTGGATGTCGATCACTCCACCTTTCCCTTCTCTATAATCTCACCCACAACCCGCTCGCTCAACGTCCACAGCGCCTCGGACAGCCCCTCCCGCCTAGCCAGCTCGCTCGGTCTCGCTACACACCCATAAGGCACAAGATACTGTCCTTTATACTTGTCCTTCTCTTTCAGCACTTCTGGGGATGTGGCCGCGAACAGTCCTGTAGTGGCGCCTTGCAGAGAGGTCATGATGAATGGGGTAACAAGGGGCCAGATTAGTCCACCCCCGAAAGAACGGACCATCCGTTCTGCTCCCTCTGTACAGCTAATCAGTAGGCATTATATGTACCAAAGGACGCAGCGCACCAGTAGCGACGTCCCCCGGATGGAGCGAGATGGACAAAGCAGGCACGCCAGCCGCGTCCCAGCGTTTCTGAAGCTCCTTGGCAAATAGGATATTTGCAAGCTTGGCTTGTGCGTATCGCACTAGCCGTTGACTGTTGCTGTTCAAGCGTGCTTCTGGCCCGCAGGGATCGCGGAAATCCGCTGGGGTGAGAAAGGCGTTCGTCGTAGGAGCTTTGAAATGCTGAGAGGAGGCTACCTGTAACGAGGCATTAGGCATGGGAGGCAATAGGGAGGGAAGGAGGACGCACGGTGATGACTCTCACGTCTGATCCGGGGAGCTTGGCGGTCTTCTCGAGCAGGGGCAGAAGAGTCGTCGTGAATGCGAAAGGGGAAACATGGCTGCCGATACCGATCAGAGCAGGAACAGGAAAGTTCAGGGATGGTGCACTCACTCAGCAGCGAAGATATCGGACAACCCCTCCGACGTAATCCTGAAATCCGAGGCTAGCTGAGCAGCGTTATTGACTACCAGAGTCAGTGCACATCACAGATAAAGTGACGGAGAAACCAAGGATATCCAGTCTCTCCTCTTTAGTCAAGAACTCCTCCGCAGCAGCTTTCGTACCCGCCACAGAGCTCAACTCCAGCACCAACCAATTCAACCGTCCCGACCCCTTCAAGCCCGGGTCGGCTTCTTCCATCCTCCGCACAGTATCCAACGCCTTAGCTTCGGAGCGAGTCGTGAGCCAGACTTTGGCGCCGTGCGATGCGAGCTGGAGGGCGGTCTGGTAGCCCATTCCGGAGTTGGCACCTGTGACTAGGGCGACGCGACCCGTGAGGTCGGGGATGTCTGTTAAGGGGTTGAACCGGCGAGAGAACATCGGAGTTGCAGCTTAGCTTTAGATGCTTCTTTGCAGAATGTTCGGAATGTGGAAGGGAGTTGGTTTGTTGGACATAGCGAGAGAGTTTTCCTTGGGATATTTATACTTCGTACGGATTTGACATTGGTGGCTTGATTCTCGCCCCACGAAGACCCATCGGTGCAAGTCAAGACACGCGTCTGAATGCCGCGAATAGGCGCTCGTGGCGCGTCGGCGTGCCCACGGCAGCCCATGCATCTGATCCACGGTGGCTGTGCATTGACTACTCCACCAGACCCGGATATAGATGCTATATGTACAGTGATGTCGAACTGTTATGACACATGATTGATGGTGCCGATGTCGTGTGTTCGATGCTGCACCCAGGTCTATTAGACCCGGTTTGCGAGAACCGCTTTGCCGGAAGGCCGTTCAGAACTGTTGCCGTAGGAGGTCGGCAGGACACCAAGTTGTGCGGCACAGGCCAATCTATCTTGCAAAGATTTCGTTCCCTCGAGGATGTCTTGACGATCGTGTACCCTTGCATGGTCGATCTTCAAGAGATCTTGGGCGTGTCCGATGCGTGTCTCCTGGAGGGCTTGCTGTAACCTCACGCAATCCACAAACGAAGTGTATGAAGACAGGAACCACTCTCGAGGTCCCGGGACAGAGCAGAGGTCGTCGAGCCGACAGTAACCAAGACCAGACAGGTGTTGGAACTTCAAGGCGTAACTTGGGGTCTCCGGATCCTCAAATATAGCACAGAGAGTGAATGTGCCGGACAGCCCAAATCCGTGTCTAGCAACGTGCTCTGGGCCACGAGGGAAATACAGAAAGTCCTCCATAAGGAAGTCAAAATCGTCCGTCCACAGAGAAGGGAGTTCTTCACTTGAGTCCATGTCACTGGAAGCGAGAGTCTTGTCCGTTCGATGAATATCCTGAAGCAGGTTCTGTGAAACGGATCATTAGTAAATGATATATACCATAACACCTCACATCCCATACCTGCTGTACGTTTTGAAGAACATGCTCAGCAGCCTCATCTTCCCAATTCTGCCACCAACGTGTTATGCCGAGCGTAGGGGAAGTTGTTGAGGGATCAGACGACACCCCACATGAAATGAGAGTGAGACTGCTTGCTCCCCGCTCATATACGTAAACGTTGCGAGAAAGATTGTCCACATGTAAGCTTGTTGATAGGGCAAGTAAACCGATATCATCTTGACAAACACATGAGACGCGAAGAGTTTCATGGGATGTATCGCTTTCGGAGGATTGTGACAACGGAGGGAGATGTGCCATGAATAGCTCGCTCGTACAGGAAACAGGCAAATCATTGAACTTGGTCTGAACCCAGAAGATAATGAGACTTGATGGGAAAGCAACTGAAACGACTTTTTGGTTGGTCGGTATATTGTACTTGCACCAGGGAAGAGCGACTGGGTAGGACTCGAGCTGCGGTTCGAGCATGAAGATTACCAATCCTTCGTCATCCCTCACGAGGAGAGCAGCGGCAGTTGATGATATTGAGTTCAGTGCGAAAACACCACAGCTGAAGGTTGACATTCGATGGAGATCCCACGTCTGTTCAGCTGACAGAAGCCCGGATCCCGTCTGCAGGTTTGCAACAGGGAATGATGTCACCCTGGCAGCCAGCTCGTCATAGATGAATAGGTGGGTTGGAGTAAATTGCGCCCCTAACCGCCCATCCTAGAATGTGTCAATAATGCAGTGAGACGAAACTGTAATAACATACCCAGCTAGTGCATCGCAGTTCCCTGAATACCGGTTTGGCCCAGCAAATTACGTGAGGTCGCAAAATGCCAGCATATCGACCTGTGCATACCGCACTGCCATCGAAGGCAAGAACATCGCTAAAATCGGGAAGTTCTTTCACACAGGTGAAGGCATGGCTGTCGTATTGCAGAAGATAAACACTGCTGTTGGGTCCTGGGGCGCTTACCTGTTTGTGGCTCCAGGTGTATTTCACCGCTTTGAATAGCAACCTCAGTCCCCGAAATTGAAGGCGGCGACCAGTCGCACAAATGCTTCAGATACAGACCACCGGCTTCAGATGTCTGGGGAGCGAGGGCTTGCAACGAGCCATCCGTCGTCCCGAGGAAAATGACACCACCGGCAGATCGTGTCCAGCTGGCTCTGTATAGCCTTCAAAATCGAAGTACTTTGCCTCAGAACGAAACCAAAATCCTCGAGATTCCGATTCATCTGTATCTTCCTTCCGATGGTCGTCGTAGCCAGCATTCCATGTCGTTAGTCCGCCTGAAGACGGGTGGTACTTCTCAGAACGACCCAAGACGGAGGGATTGAAGAGTTCGGAACTCTCCCTTGGAGGATCGGTACTTCCTGTTGGACCACGGGTACGACCAAACGCTGAGCACTGGAACTTGGCTGCCTCATCGACTAGATTCTCTGGACCTGTGCGTCGCATATCAGCAGATATTTTCGAGGTCTGTGTTGACATTTCGTGAGGTCTAGCTTTCTTTGTAGGTCTGAAGCGATAGCATAGAGGCAGGATTGGGTAGAAGACAAATCGGTGGGGCTTGAAGGAGGAACGGGGGCAAAGGGGCTGGGTGATTAACCTCCAGCATGACCCTAATCACAACACTCCACTTGATACTTGATTATTTCTGACTTTCGTATCAACTCACCGTCGAACCCCATTCAGATCAACTTCATCACAAATATCTAAGCTTACGTCTGCCTTCACTGCCTCAATCTCGAACAACATCCATCCGTTCACCGCGCACACGTATACACAGTCCATCCCGCTTCTAGGAGCCCTCTATATCCACAAGTCGCACTATCCCCTCATATTCCGGAAACCAACGTTCGGTCAACAACCTCACATGCCCCCCTCAAGACCTCACTCTCCAGTACATTAAGCCCCTTCACATATCCGTTGCTCTCCGTTCCCAGCACGCAGACAAGTAAGGAGTAGATGACCACGTCTGCCAGTGTGGGCATCCCCAGACGCATGAGATACTGCTCAGGCTTGTTCGCGCAGGATATCCTGCACAAGCACCCACTCCCTCAGAACCTCCCTCACTTCCCTCATAAACCTCCCCATACCCACGTACAAATCCATAACCCAATATCGTTTCTGGTACAGCGCTAACAAGTCCCTCGCTCCCCAGGGCAGGGGGCGGAACACTTCTGCACAGTTTTGCCCGGTTTTCGCGCTCGGAAACGCGCAGACGAGGGATGGGAAGAGGAGTTCCTCGATATATGCGATTTGGGCTCTGCTCTGAGCGTGCTGGGCCTGGGTGAGGGGGCGGTCGAGCTCCCCTTCTACCCCTGCCTGGGACTGTGTGGAAGAGGAAGACAGCCATTGGATTATAAACTGCGAATCTGCGATCTTCTCCCCCGTACTCAAGGTCACGTAAGCCAGCTCCCCCCTCGGCGCTTGCAACGTACTATGTCGTATTCCACCCCGGTGGCACGGAGGAATGTCTAGTTTTTGGCAGTAGTGGGAGAGGTACGGGGAGGGAGGGGGGTTGGGGAAGACGTGCAGTTTGAGCTTGAGATCAGGAGACATGGGTCTGCTGGGTGTGGAAGGCAGCGAGAAGAAGGGAGTTGGAGGGCGTTGGAGGTCGTATACCTACATGATGCTAGTCCTTTGTTGGCCTGTGCAGTTGATGAAGCGAATATGGGGCGAGTGATAATGCCGTAACTCCGATATCGGCAATGAGCGCCCCCAGAAATCGGCCTGTCTTCTCTCCAGTCTGCAGCATCGTACAGTACATTGTGCCGTGCGAATTCTCACGTCCAGCTCGTGTAACCAGTCGAGGATTTAGGAAAGAGCAAAAGCAGAAGAGGTGTTGTCCCATCGGTTCGCAGTATCGGGCATTCCGTGACCACTAAGACTGCCCGACGCCTCTGCTCTCAGCTGCTCTGAATCCAATCTCTCCCAAACAAGCTCAAGACATCAAATCCAGCAGCGCCCCACTGTCCGATCATCCTCATCCTCATCCTGATGGTCGCTGATCACTGATCGACCACAAAAGGAGCGCCACTTGCCCCTGGCCGCAAGGGATACGGATACCTTTCTTGGCAGGGGTCGACCCTTGTGTCCAACACCCTTGTGCCTTCCCTGTGCGTGTGTACACGTGCTATGGGTTGCGGAAGGGAATGGGGCCGTGGATGGGGGAGGGGAGGGGGAGGGATTTGGGATCTGTCCGTAGAGGAAAAGGGCGAGGGTTAACAAGGTGAAAGACTTCCTAACATGATCAACAATAGATCAAAGCAGGACGTCCCACGTAAAACCAGCGAGCGTTGTCCTTGAGCTTTCTTGCACTGCCAGCATCAGACACTCAAGAACCGAAGGTACGTGTCAGAAGGTTCTGGTATGCGCTGAAAGCTGGAAAGACAGCTGGGCGTTTCGGGTCTCGTGGAGGGAGGGGACAGGCACGCTAAGGTGTGATCGACGAGGTTTGGGGAGTGGAAGGGATGAAGGTTGACGTTGTGTCAGTGCTGGAGGTGAGGGTCAGCGAGGTGAGGTGCATCTATGTCGGATAAGGAGTGTATGAGGAAGTACTGATGATATCTGTAATAAGCGATGATATTCATTCAGTCCAAGAGGGGGTAAAGCGGTGTGCATTGTCCCTAACGACGTGCCAGTCATCCCTCCTGTCGCATGGCAGTGCGTGTCTTCACATGGGGAGGGGGTTGTGAGTGCGATGCCCTTGGCTTCCGGGTATGTAGTGGTGCGTGGAGGTCACTGTCTCTCGGATGCACGCATAGGCCATCAATCTAACTCATATCTAATACCCTTTCTCTATCGACGAGCGACTATTGTCTATCTCTTTTGATCTAGTGCTATACACCCTTGGCCTTCCCTACAGGCACGTGAAGTTAACCTTGTGCAGATAACCCCCTTTACACTCTCCTGCCACACACTGCTTGTTCTCTCTTCTCTCACTACCAACTCACTGCAATACCATCACACCACAACTGCCACCACACCACCACAATGCCAGTCTTCGTATGTCCTCTTACCAAAACAGTATGGGGAACACCAGACGACCCCGCAGACTTATCCGTACGTATCCCTTCCACTCCCTCCCTCCTCCCTCCAAACACACACCATGGTCCGCCCCCTCACACAACCACAGAGCGTAGCACTCCAATCCATCGACAAAGAGATCCTCAATGCTGAGAAATCCCTATCGGATCCGAACGCCCGAGCCCAGAAAGCAGCGAACAACTCGGATCGGAGGAAGGTATGTAAGAAACTTGAGCAGCTGGGCGTGCTCCTCCGTGCAAGGCATGAAAAGTCGCATAATCCAAGAGATCTGGATAAGGTGCGTTCTGCTCCCCCCCTCCCCTGCGTAGGCGTACTCACAGTACGCGCAGGCTATCGACCTAGCAGCGGAATGCGTACACTATACGGTCCTCTCCGACCCCGAGCGTTCTACCCGCGTACACATACTCGCCTGCCTCCTCGGTACTCGGGCACAGCTCTTCTCCTCCCCTTCAGACCTAGACGCTTCAATTCACCACTATGCGTCCATCCTCGACCCTCCCTCCCCCGCCAGCTTCACAGGCTCCATCTCTCCCCCTCCCGTGCACAAACGTTCTGCCTCCAGCTCCAGCGGGAGCGGGCCAGGAGCACAGGAAACCTGGATGTACGAGTTCTCCCAGCGTCTGGCGGAGAGGTACGAGATGAGGGGAGAACAGAGTGACCTCTTCCGCGCAGAGGGGATATGTCGTGCTTCCCTTGAGCAGAAGGGACTGGACGGCACCGCCCTCGCTGAGAGGCAGAGTCATCTTGCCTATCTGTTGCAGTACAAGAGTGCGTCCCCATCTTATCCTCACCTGGGAGAGCGCCGCTGACTGCTGATGGGAGCAGCCCAAGTCCTGGCACGCCGCGATCCCCCCGAGCTCAACCTACCCGAGATCCTCCTCTGCATAGGTCTTGCAAAACAAGCGCTCGCCCGGCTCCCACCCTCAGATCCCAGGCGGAGGATGTACCGTCTCCGGCTAGCGACGTACCTGAATACCTCGTTCAAGTATACGAGCAACAGCGGACATCTGGACGAGGCGATCTTGATATTTGACGAGGAGTTTCCCGAGTTCCTCGATTTGGATACGAATGCCAGCGGGGCACTGCCCACTCCGCCTTTGAGTAGGAGTACGACGCTTACCAGCGCTAGCGGGAGTGGGACGCAGGACCCGAGCAAGCCCTACCACCTACGTGCGGCCGCGCAGAACCTCCTGTCAAGGTACACCTCCACGTCGGGCAAGAAAAACCCAAAAGACCTCGAGCGAGCAACGACGATGTACCGGCGTGCACTGCTGTGCTTGCTCGCGCTGCACTCTACCGAGGAAGGGCAGGCACACGCCTCCTCTCACCCGTTATGGGAAACCCTCAGTCTCGGCCTGCTGGACTGCCTCGACCGCTCAGGACGCAAGAGACTCCAAGTTGTCATCTCCGGCGGTGGACCTGTAGGGCAGACACTAGCACTGTCCATCGCACTCCAGAGTGTGGAGCGGAGCATGGTCATCGGCGGCCCTGCTGTCCAAGTGACGCTCTACGAGAGCCGGCTGATGCCCGACTCCGACTCCGACTCCGACTCCGACTCCGACTCGCCCGACGGGGTAGGCGTCCGTGTCCGATGGCGAGGTGCCTCTGACTCTCCGCCCAATACCCGCAGGCAGCAGGTCATCACTCTACAAGACGCAGTCATAGGCAACTTTGACAAATCTGGCATCCCCTGGTCTTCTATCGTCTGGAATCTAACTCTGAACCCAGAGGGGGGAGAACGCGTCTGGCCAACGTCCAGGCAGGTCCCTATCCGGCAAGTGGAGGATACGATCACTGCCTATGTGCAGAGTACGCCCTTCCTCCGCTCTACCGTGTGCTACAAAGCGCAGGCCATGGACGCCTCGGTGTTTGACAGCATCAGACCTTGGTGCGACCTCTTTATCGGCGCGGACGGAGCGGGCAACAAGAGCTTTACGATCAACCACCCCGAGTTCCGGTTCACGCGCACGGTGTATGTCGAGGAACAGATGGATCGCGCCCTAGGGGTGTTTGTAGATATCGACGGGCCAAAACGTCAGCAGGCGAAAAACGTCTTCCTCACCATTGCGCAGACTATATATCTTCTCAACTCGAACTACGGCACCCTGGGGTATTTGAATATCCGCTTGCCTGGAGCGTACATGAACGCTATGGGAGATCAGGAGACGCTTGAAAGTCTTTCCCAGTCTGACAATATCCTAAAGCGGCGGATCGCCTTTGTAATCAAAGGCGGTCTAGCGATATTCGACCTTCCCGAAACAGATGTCAAAGCGATCAATAGGATCGAGCTCCCTATGAGCAACTCGACGCGCTATCTGGCCACGGCTGCCAGGAACCCGCACGCAAACCCCCGTGAACAGCCAGGGAGGAACTCGACTTTCCCCATAGTGCTCGCCGGGGACGCAGCAATAAAGTTCAATTTCTGGCCTGGGCGAGGCGCTAACTCGGGCTTGATTGGCGCGTTTGGGTTGACGACAACCCTTTTTGATATATTGCCGACTTTGAGGCCTGGGACGAGTATCCCTGTGGAGAGGTTTATGTTACAGGTTGGACTGCTATCGACACTTCAGGTGAGGGAGCATGAGGGGAGAGGAGGCTATATCCAGAGTATAGGAATCGATCAGCGGTATGAGGACGTGTTTGGCCCTCAGTGAGTCCGGTTTGGCTGGCTGAGGAACGGCGAACGTCGGACGTGCTAACCTCGAACAGCACGAATGTGATCCCGCCCCCAGCACCGGCAGACACACTCGCCCCTCCCGAGCCAACAGTCCCGGCCACAGGGGAATCCTCAAGCCGTACATCCAGCCGTTCAGGGTCGCGCGCCAACTCCCCTACTCCGACGAACTCCACCTTCGGGGAAGGATCTCGTCGCGGACCGAGAGGACCGAGGGACTCGATACATAATCGTGCTTTGCCCCGGCCGCCTTCTATCAACTCGGTACATGGGCCCTCTGGCCCGCCCGTGGCTAGCGCGGCCAGCATGACCAGCATGATCAGCGCGAATAGCCCTAATGGGAAAGGCAAGGCCTTGCAGTATGGTGAATCTGGACAATTTGACGATCCGGATATTGACGTCTCCGTTTCTCCGCCCTTGTATTCCGGTACAGAGGGCGAGTTTGGGCAAATCGCAGAGCTGCTCAAGAATAAGCCCCTGCCACTAGTACTCGATCGGTCTACCACACCTGTACCGCCCGAACCCCCACACCCGGAAGACGTCCCGCTCGCCGAAGCGGTCGAAGTGGTGCGTAAGGCGACGCGTGCTGCTAAAGGCAAGAGGAACGCGCCCATGTCCGCCCAGCGGAAGAAGACGATCTTAGACCGTGCTAAGCCCCTCAACCTCGATGACCAGGGGTTCATCCTCGACCCTAGGGAGACGGAGGCGCTTATGCAGTACGACGACTTGATTACCCGTGAGCTGATTAACCGGTTGCAGTCCCGTAGGGATACGTTCGAGACGCGTGAGGAGTGGCAGAAGATGCATGTCAAGGTCACGAATAAGGAGCTTGAGACGGCTGTTAGGAAGCTTCATCCGGCGCTTAAGAAACTTATTTTCCTCTCCGAGCCGTGGCCTACGGGGAAGATGAACCCACAGGGGTGGGAAGTGGATCCAAAGATCTACAGGCAGCCTGGGATTGGTGAGGGTGATCTCTAACACAGTACAAGTGGGAAATCACTCATCGGATCTGTAGCACCTGCTCCCCGCGTTGCCATCACCCCGGCGCAACGCTGATTTTCTGTTCTTTTATCTGGTTGTCCAGTATGTTGATATGTGCTCCAATTGTTTCCTCGTTTTGTATCCTTTGTCCTTGTTTTGTTTCTTACCCTGTTTTACTCTCGAACTATAACCTTATGAAATGAAATATTACGTATTCCCCCAGCTCCAGATGATATTGAGAAGCAGCCCAGGACCCTGAACACGCGTAAGCTGTTGTTGGTAACCGTTCCTCTACTGAATTCATTGTTCAAATTGATGCCCAATGCCTTGTCTCCCTCGCTCTGATATCCTTCAAGAACATCGTACCAAGCAACCACCTCTCCTGGCCTCCAGTTCATAATGGGCGCATTTTGGAACCGGACTGACCTAATGGCCGACGTGCCAGATCTGTCAGGCCGAGTTGCCCTCGTCACTGGAGCAAAGTGAATCCGTCGATTGGCATATGCCATCTGTCAGCTTACGCCTTCCATAGCCGTGGACTTGGATACGCCGTCGCTGTTATACTCGCTCAGAAGGGCGCGAAGGTGTACATCGCTTGTCGCTCTCTAGACAAAGCAGTTCAGGCAGTCCAACAAATGGAGATAGCGCATGAAGCGCTCAAGGGCAGGCTCATCCCTCTGGAAGTGGACTTGGGGAGTGTGCGCAAGTCGAAGGCAGCGGGAGAGGAGGTGATACGTTTGGAGGGGATTATGGGGAGATTGGACATCCTCAGTGAGTGCGTCAGGATGTAAGAAATGAAGCGCTGATGTTACACTAGTCTGCAACGCGGCCCAGACTGGTACGCCGTATGAGGAGAACGAGGAGGGAATCTCGACCATCATGGCATCCAAGTGGCCTTATCTCTTATCCATTCATTTGCAATAGCTCACACTCACCACAGTCACCTTGGCCACTGCGCTCTCACCCTTGCCCTACTGCCCTTGTTGGATCGCACCGACCTCAGTCCGCCTTGTGACGTACGCGTCATCTTAGTGACAAGCGCCGGCTATGCGCTAGCACCGAAACCATGGCAATTCAAGAGTGTAAGGGACTTTAGAAACGATGCCGGGCAAAAGGAGGGGGGGCTCGTCACCCAATTAGCTCGTTATGGTGCGTTTCTTCCTTGTGAAGAGACAAGCCCTCAAGCCATATAATCTTGGTGTAGGACAAACAAAGCTTGCGAACATCTTGTTCGCAGCTGAGCTCCAACGGAGATTTAAGAGGCACCACACACAGTCTCTTGCCCTGTCCGTCCATCCGGGCGGCGTGGTGACCTCAGGTGCCAAGAACTTTCTCAGGACCTGGTACTGGGTTTTCGCCTGGGGGTTCGTCCCGCCCGAAAAGGCTGCAAAGGCGATTGTCTTTGATGCTGCGAGTCCCAAGGTGAGAGAGCAGGGCTGGGGAGGCGCGTACCTCGTGCCCGGGGGAAAGAAGGGAAAGCTACAAAAGGGGGCGCAGGATGAAACGTTGGCGAAGGACCTGTGGGAGCTGAGCGAGCGGGTGTGTAAAGAGATTGAGGAGAAAGGGAAGGTTGAATGATGTGCATGTAATATCAGTGTATGTTCCCTAGATCGATGAGTCTCGGACATTTTCTCCGGCTGAGCATTGACGTCCATCTAGAATAAATCCTTGGTCATTCTCGAGGCGTGAACTATACCCACATCAACCTGTACGGACTATTTCCCGGGGTCATGGTCCATTCGGTTGCGTCCAAGCCACCAATCAGTCGATCTTCCCTTTTTCCAGGATTTCCTGCACCACCTTCTCCGACAAATTCCAAAGCTCCTCCGCCAATCCCTCCCTTCTAGCCATTGCACTTGGAGTGGCTACGGATCCGTACGGCACCAAGTACTGCCCCTTGTACTTTTCCACATTTTGACGCACATCCGGGCTCGTCGCTGCGAACAGCTGGGTGATGGCACCCTGCGGGGGAGTCATGATAAACAATGTTACGAGAGGCCAGAGGATTCCAGCACCAAAGGAGCGTGCGACGCGCTCCGCGCCCGCTTTGACGAGGATCAGTATCACGGTACATGATTATGGAGAAGAAACATAGCTTACCCGTATGGACAACCCCGGGATGGAGCGATATAGAAATGCCGGGGATGCCTGCAGCATCCCATCGTCTTTGAAGCTCACGGGCAAAGAGAATGTTAGCGAGTTTCGCTTGGCCTATTCGTGAAGATGTGAACATTGGCCGTACTCGGGGAAAAAAGGAATTAGATGTACCATACCGCGCGGTCTGTTGCAAAATGCTGCTATTTACGCTCTCTTCTGGGCCACACATATCTCGGAAGTCCGCTGGAGTGACGAACTTGGTGGAGGTTGGAGCATAAGAGTGTTGTATTGAGGATATCGTGACGACTCGTACATCTGCATCGGGCAAACGGGCAGTCTTCTCCAACAAGGGCAAGAGAGCAGTCGTAAACGCAAATGGTGAGACGTGACTTTGGTCAGGATTAGTCTTTTCTCGTGCCGCTATTGGAGTACTCCTGGACATACTCAGAAGCCATGATATGTGAGAGTCCTTCGGCGGTGACTTCGAAGTCTGCTGCCATTTGTCCAGCATTATTCACTATATGCCAGAAGTGAACGTCCCACCATCTATACCGCGAAAGCGTCAGACGGACCGAGGATATCCAGACGTGCTTCTTTTTTCAAGAACTCCTCGGCAGCGGCTTTCGCATTATGAACCAAGGTCAAATCGAGCTCGAGCCATCGAAGTCTTCCTGAATCCGTGAGAGACGGATTGGCTTCCTCCAGCCGTTTGATGGTGTCCAGAGCCTTGGCTTCCGAACGTGTCGTTAGATACACCGTCGCACCATGGTTTGCCAGCTGGAGAGCGGTCTGATAACCTAGTCCAATGTTGGCGCCAGTTACGATTGCCACTCGACCAGTGAGATCGGGGATATCCGTAACAGGGTTCCAGCGACGACCAAACATCATGAGCAAGAAAATATGGTTGGCAAAGCTAACCAGAGCCTGTGGGTATTTCTACATACGTGAAACTCGGTTCATCGACAATCGATCGCAGCATCGTCATTCCGTTGCTGGCGGCGTGCTCATGTTGACGCGCGCGTTCCTCAGCGCGCGCCCACTTTACGGCACTGAATAAGTCCCCTGTTTTGAATATAACCACTGACTTCTGGCTATCTTCGATATAGACATAGGAGTATATCCCGACCGCACATGTTCAGACCTCCGGTCGAGCGGACTTGAGAGCGACTTCTAACTTCCTTGCCTCCCTCAAACCCGAGTTCCATGCTGCGTGCACACTCGCATACTCGTCCGGCTCCGTATGCTCTCCTGCCCAGAACAGCTTTCCCCAAAGACAGTGCGATGTCTCGATCATGTCTAGCGGGCTGGCTTCCTCCCTTCCAGAATTCGTGACGGGGATGTATGAATACGAGCCGAGAGCGAACCGGTCCGAGCGCCAGCGTGTCGTGATGATCTGTTTAGGCCTGGGCGCACGCTTGCCGGGTGATAGATACTGTGCGATGATGCTTTCCACCCACACAGCAACCTGCACATCATTCATCCTTTCCACTCGTTCAGCAGCGTAGCCGGTCATGAAGAAGCACCAGCAGGGCACGTTTTGCAGTGTCCACAAGTTATGCAGGTGCACGGCGGCTGGCTGGTCGAGATCGCCAAGTAAGTTTCCCGGATTAGAAGGATCGGGTAAGAGCCACAAGGAATGAATATCCGTCCACCATGCCGTATCATAATAGACGAAGATTTTGTTCAGCAGCCCCGAACCGAGACGGCGGATCGCTGCAAGACGCCTTGGAGGAAGGGGAGGGATGAACGTAGGAGGTCGCTTTTGCAAGACGCCCAAAGGCAAAGTAAGGAGAGCGTATCGACCTGAGCATGTGCGATTTGGTGGGCAGTTATCACGCCTGCTACGGTCGGATGTCGTAACGGCCACTTTTCATACGTTAGCGGATGCGGCAAATGCATTAGCAGAACGTCAATATACCATGGTCGTTCTTCTCCTTCAGACAGTTAACCTCGACAACTTCCTCTCCCAATCGAATATGACCTCCATTGCGCATGATCTCCTTCTTAAGCCATTCGATCAGAGCCCCGTACCCGCTCGCAACCAAGGCATCTTCCCCTTGCATATCTTGCTCAAAACCCCACCATTTGAATGATACTTTGTCCAGTGGTGCCCCACACCACCCTGCGTACGAGCGGGCAAGCGCAATAGATTGTTTTTTACTGATGGGGGTGGTGAGATTATGGAATAGTGGAGAAGAAGGTGCGAGAAATGGTGTGAGGAGGGGTGTGCTAGGTGGAGGCGTGAAGGAGGACGTTTGGGAAAGGTCCTTGAGGTGATGAAAGATGCACTGACTGGTCTGTCTATCATGTCAGTTTTGTTCTTTCGCGTTTATATAACAACCGGGTACAAAGCAGAACGTACATTCTTGAATATCTGAAGGTCATTAGGAGGAATGGACCCGGTGTGGTCTCGCAGCACCCCGTGTTCCGCCACATAATGCATCAGCTCCTGGTCATGTTGTGAGGTTTGGTCAAACCAAGGACGTAGAAACATACCATCCCTATATCCTTGGCCACCTTCGCCACAGGGTTTGCGTCCATCCCGTGAATGTAACTAAATCATCCGTCAGTATTCTCCTTTACTGACAGGCTTTTTACAAACCCACCTTGCTCCTAAGTCAACCGGATGCCCACCGCGCTCGTCCATGGTACGTGTCCAGACTCTTCCTCCAAGACGGTCCCGTGCTTCCAGTAAGAGCACAGAGAAGCCTAGACAAGTGAGATGTCTGGCTGCAACCAGGCCAGAGATGCCACCACCGACGATGAGGACGTCATACATGTCCGAATGCCCATTTGCCGGTTGTGCTCCAGCAGAAGAGGTTTCGCGGAATGAAGTGGCCCCATTTAAGATAGGCATGGCATGGGTACCGTTTTGCGATTGGATTCTGCTCGTCGAGTTCGTCATAATTGTTGGACTCGTGGGTCGGGTTGACAGTGACTGCTTAATTTAAGAGTGCCAGTGTACAGTGCGGCGACTGGATTTGAAACCTCCAGAGCCCATCTTGCAGCTGGCAGCATCTCAGCTTCCTGCCGCTTGCGGGGGTCCCAACTCAATGTTATTTCCGAGTGGAGAGTTTGACATGACGCTAAAGAATGGCTGTCCCCAACCATAGCCAACGAGGTCGCTCGGAGCTCCGCCGAGGTCCGTGGGTACCAATCACGATCACGGACGTCACCGCGCTAATTGGGATTCTGGCCGCGGCCTTCGGTCAGGGATATATCTGAGTGTAGCCGACCTTCAGCCTGGTTCGCAGGCTGACCAGGCTAGCCTAGGGGGGAGGTCAATTTGGTTAGGGTCCTATATTGAGGGTGTCTTCTTTGCGCATGCAGTTTTGAAGACATCCGACCGCCAGCAGAGGACAGCATACAGTAGAAGCAAGTAACATTGTGCACTGTACGAATTAGTGGCCCTTCGTATGCCCTGTTCCGCAAGGTCGCCAGCTATCAAGAGAAGTAGGGATCGATATTGTAACATGGCTGTAAGAGCGTGAGATGAGGTGTTTGCCAGCATCGAGCCGCGGGGAACGAATAGGTAACGCACTTCGAGCCGTAACTCCGATTGTTCCAAGGGTCTGGGTTTGGATATGCCGTCATGGATCTTCTTTGCACGAGGGGCAGGTATTGATACCCAACTCATACGTCTTTCTTCAAAGAATCTGAAGAAAACAACCATGAGCTCCTTTTCCATCACCGCAGGCCAGATCCCATCACTTGAGTGCAAGTTGACAATCGTCACGGGTCCCGTTGATATAATAACATGAATTGCGAAGAAAAGAGGAATTTCCTATGTCGGAAAAGAAAAAAAAAACAAATGTTCACGACGCTTCTTGACCACAGCCACTGTTTACTTTGATTGGATGGCCCGGGGTTGTTTAGGGCACGTGTTTTGGGAAATAATCCTCACCACAACTGGGTTCACTGGCCCTGATCATTGTGAAATGCGCAACTTCCAAAGCGTCTGCCGAACTCCTCCAGACAAAAAGGCGAACCTGCCGAACGTCTTGCCCAAGAGCGTCGCAATAAAACCAGCGTTCTCGACCCGTCGCTCACTGGTCAGTCCAAGGCGCATTGCAACAGACTGGAACGTATGACCGAATCACGACCGACGACCAAAATTGGCGGAAAGCGCTAAGGCGGCCAAGATCGGCGACTCTCCTTCTCAAAGACGCAAACGAGCACAAAGCCGCAGAATAAGCTGAAAACTGGTGTGAGCGTGGGGGCAACGAGACAGAGAAGGAGTCGCAGAAACACCAAGGACGAAGGTCGATTTGTATGTCTTGACATGCAAGGTCATTAGTAACGGGTATGATAGACAGGATAAAGACGAAAGAAAGAGACGAACCTAGGCAGCTAAGAATGCCGGAATGTCATCCCAGTAGAGGTTGGCACCTGGGAACTGTTCGCGCACAAGCTCCCAGACCCATTCGAAGACGGTAGAGTACGTGATGTCCGACCCATCGGTTCCCTTGTTAGTCCCCCCGGTGAGCAACGAAATAAACTCGCCCTTGGGGGAGACGATGGTGGATCCAGAGTCGCCTCCCTTGGAGAAGGTGCTGGTCTCGTTTTCATGAGAGAGAATCGGCGACTCGATAGACTCCATATTTCCTATAGGGAAGTACTTGCGGGAAAAGGACATAAATCTGCTAATCGTGCCCACGGTAGTGTTGGTTGCGAAGCCGCGCTTAATAGCACGACGAATAGGGTCGCCTGCGACACTCTTGTTGTCGGGATTGCTGATCTGTTGGGAAGTGAGAATGTTTCGGAGCGCAAGGAGACCGTCAGTGGGGTATTTGAAGGTCGGATCGACATCGTCACGTTCATATAACAACGACTTGAGCTTCGTGGAGGTGTACTCGGGACCTAGATGGAGAAAAAGGCACAGATCAGATGAGCGCATTCCAATCAGACGAAATTAACACGCACCAAGACTAAGCACATTTCCGAGCAAATTGGAAAAGCTTTCCTTATGCAACTGGACAACGCAAAGGTCCCTCGTATACTGGTGAGGAGCAACACCAACACCGATTGGGGGAGCCCAGACGACGTGTCCTATGACGCGCTGCGTGATCTTGCCGAACCGCTTTTTAATATCCACAAAGAAGTCCTTGAGCGCGTTGATCTTGCCACGAAGCCTATCGTGCTCGGCCACGTGGGTGTTGAGCTCGATCTGCGACTGTGGAAGGCCAATTCCATTGTGCACGTTGGAGGTGAGTGTTTTGACTTTCTTCTCAATGGCATCGACAGGGTCGATGAGCGTTCCAATTTCTGCCTGAATGGAGGCGAGGTAGTTCGTGAAGGCAGGGTTTCCCATTAAGACTACCTGTATCTTCGGCGCAGAGGCTGAAGGGACAAAATCAGAAAGCTCTTAAAATTGCCATAGGGTAAATGGATGGAAACGCACTTTTAAAGCGGAACTCGGCGTTGCCTCTATCGGCAAGGAACAGGTTATGACGGACGGTGATGGCATACAGCGTGTTGCCAACGTGGAAGTATGGTCCTATTGTACCTTGCATTGTCGTCTTGAGACCCGCGATGGGGAGACTGAGAGCAACAGAGACGGGGTCAATAAAATCTTTGCGATGGTCGACAATGCCAACTGGAGCGAAGAGGGCTGGGCTAACCGAGGACTTGGGGACTGTCTCGCGGTACGCAATATCTATATCAGTGACATTGAGCCCGTTGAGGAAGGCACGGATGGCTTTGGTGGCCTCGAATGCAGTGTCAGCAGTGAGAGTGTTGGGTGCTACGCCTACCCAGATGGTCGGGTTGCTGAAGTGACGGTCGCCGTCCTGATAGGCTTGATAGGTGGGATAGAGTCGTAGTCGTAGTCTTCTTCATCACCCTCGTTCTCTCCCTCGTCCTCGTCAACCTCAACCTCCCCGTCCTTCTTCTTTTCGAGCCAGGTGAATTTAACAAAGTCGATGCATGTAGTCCTGATCTCCTTGTCGTCAAGCAGCTCGACAAACTTAAGATAAAAGATTAGTCAATATATATTTCCATAATGCAAACAAAGGACACGCACTTTATCCCGGACCTTTTCCCACAAGCCATCATTTCCGAACTCATGATGGTCCGGAACAGCAACTAGGCGCATGAGTCGCTTATATTCCTCAGGGCCGGTTGGTTCCACGTAGACGTCAGAGGAATCCCTGTAGATGAGCTTGGGCCCGCGACCATTTTCACGTATACCGGAGTAGTAGAGATGCGCCTCGATCCTGGAAGGCGCATGGGGGGAGCTCTCGACAGTCGTAACGCTGGACTCGCTCTCGCTGCTGGACCAGAGGCTATCGAACTCGGAGGAGGAGGAATCGCTGTGTTTATCTGATGATAAGGCGGACTTGCGTGCCTTTTCAGCGCACTCTTTGTCGAATTCGGCAGTCTTCACGTATTCCTCCAGGTTGTCCTCGACGTGATCGCGAGCGTGTTTGGCTAAGTGAAGAATACGAGTAGATTAGCACGAAGGGCAACGAAACGTGAGAAGATCAAACTCACGGTTAAGAGAGAGATGGTTGGTTCTAAATGGAGCAGACATGATTCGATGAATGAGCTTTTAAGTGTAACCAAAAGTGTTGATAGAGCGGTTTGAGCACAGTGAGTTCGCCAGTCTTGAGGGAGCACACACGAGATGAGTAGTATGTAGGTGTAGGGTCCGCACGTCGGAGGCAAATTGCGTCCAAAATCCCTAAAAAGGAAAGAGCATTATGCCTCCATAGTGTTAGGGTACTGGTTAGGATCCCATCAAGCAGGTTAGGGTGGTTAAAGTTAAAGTGGGGTAGGGGTTAGGGTTAGGGTTAGTGGTAGGGTGATATTATCATTTTTAATGTATTATATTAAATAATAACTCTGTGCTTGGGTGCTGGGATTTGGCAGAAATTGCTATATTTGGCAAAAACAGGGTCTTTTGCCTCCGTTGTGCCCGTACTATACTCATCTGACTCACTCGGAGTCGTAACTCCGATTGCTCCAAGGGTCTGGGTGTATGTCGTCATTGGCTTCCCAATACGGCCGCCAGGGCTCGGCGGCCGACAAAGGCCAGATATTCATACCCATCTCTCTCTAAACAACCCCTCAATCAAACAACCATGAGCTGCTCCTTCACCGCAAGCCAGATCCCATCACTTGAAGGAAAGGTAGCCATCGTCACGGGCGCAACGCGTGGTATCGGTGAGCAAACAGCACTCCAACTCGCGTTACACGGTGCCAAAGTCTACCTCGCGACGAGGAACGAGTCCAAGACGTCTGCACCTATCCAATCTCTTGAATCGGAGCATCCGGAACTGAAGGGTCGCCTTGTATGGCTAAAAACAGACTTGGGTAGTGTTAAGGGATGTCAGGAGACGGCGAAGGAGTTCATAAGCAAGGAGGAGAGGCTGGATATCTTGGTGTGCAACGGGGCGGAGTCGATGACCCCTTGGGAAGTGACTACAGAAGGAGTGGGGAGAACCTTTGCAGTCAAGTACGTCTCACCACCTGACTTTTTCTCACGCTCATCAACCCCGTCAGCTACCTCGGTCACTTTGCACTCGTCACCTCCCTCCTGCCTATTCTTGAGCACACCTCCCGCTTGCCGAACGCAGACGTTCGTATCGTCAACCTCTCCAGTATGGTACACAGCAGCGCGCCTTCCATCACAACTTTCTCCAGTCTAGCAGAGTTTAAAGACATGTGCGGGAAGGCAGACGGCTTCAGGGCCAAAGTTGGCCGGTATGGTACGCCCTCTCTGCGCTGTCGGATGTTGGTTGCGGAGCAGCTGACGGATCTTGGGTGCAGGACAAAGCAAGCTCGCGCAGTTGTTGTTTACTCGGGAACTCCAGCGGCGGATGGACGAACAGGGTGTGCCTATTATCACTGTCGCCGTTCATCCGGGAAGCGTTGCCACCAGTAAGTCCCCCCCTCTCCACATGTGCATCTCCACCGATGCACCCGCGTTCGAGGATCAGATCCGATGTGGAGTGATACTGATGTGTGTATGTAGACGGCAGCAAAGGCTTCGTAGGCTCCTTCCTGTTCAACCTCACCTCACCCTTCTTTTTCATCACCCCAGCCCAAGGCGCCCTCACCTCCCTCTTCAGCGCCACCTCCTCGCTTCTCTCCCCGTCCTCTGCGGACAGGGAGGGCTGGAAGGGAGCGTACGTACTCCCGTTTGGGAAGAAAGGGGAGGCGAGTAAGAAGGCGGGGGATAAGGAGATGGGAGCAAGACTGTGGAGCTTGTCCGAGCAAGCGGTGAAGGAGATTGACGAGAAAGGATGTATTAGTGTGTAGGGGTTATAAGGACTCTCGTACGAACATGCCATCAAGTATGTTGCCGTACACATGACAACTTTTTATATCATTTTGCCCAACTTGCACGTCTCACTCCCCCACCTTTCCCTTCTCCAGCACCTCCCTAATGACCCTCTCACTCAACGCCCACAAGCTATTCGCCGCCTCCCCATCCCTGGCGTTCGCACTCGCCCCCTCCCTCTTCCCAAACGGTACCAAATACGCGCCTCCCCACTGTTCAAGCTGCGCTTTCACCACAGGCGCAGTAGCAGCGAAGAGGGACGTAAGGGCGCCCGGTACCGTGCCGAAACTCAAGTAAAAATGCATAACAGATTCGAATTCCTCCTCGTCGTACATTCTAGCGCCCATCCAAACCGTTTAAGATCCAAATCAAAAGCTCGCCTGCCTCGCCGCTCTCTCCGCCAAGCTGCCCCTCGGTTCCCAAGCCCAATGCACTCCCTTCCCCTCCCTCTCCGCCTCCCGTTCCCTCTCCCATTCCTCCCTCTTCTCCTCCGCCTCTTCCTCGCTCTGCACTCCCCAACCCCCACCGCCAGGAGTGAGTACAACGATCGAGTCCCCCTTGCCCATCCGCACCGTCGCTTTCCCACCGATGTTGATGATCCTCGGCTCGGGCTTGGAGGGTACCAGGTCTCCAGTGTCAGAGAGTTCGGGAGCGGTGGAATCGGCTTCTTCTGCTTGGGCTTGCTTTTTCCACAAATTGAGACCACACGCGCCGTCCCCGCCCCCGTTCGCGCCATACGGCCTATGCACACGTCGCTACGACGCAGATCAGCATCAGCCGCGTCCCGCCCTAAGCATGCATGGTAGGGACGCACCTCACTAAGTATAGAAACCTGCATCTCTTTCAAGAACTCAATCTCCCTGACGACCCCTTCCCCGCCCCTCATCCTCCCCTCCCCAGCCGAGCCCTGCCTGAGCCCAAACTGGCGTACGAGCACAGGATACCTTCGTTCGAGGATCTCCACGTCCCCAATCCGGGTGTTCGTCATGTGGGTATGGACGCCCGAGGTACCGGGCACGGTCGCTGTTGCCCCTGACCCGCCAGCGATCGTCTACACAACCGTCAGCTCACCAACAGCCAACAAAGGGAAATGGAATTGAGCAAACCTCGTAATACCCCCAACCGACCTTAGCCTGCCCATCCCTCCCCTTCCCGCCCTCTCCAAACGTGAGGTTGTTCGTATCCCCCTGACTAGCCGCACACGCTCCAAAAGTCTTCAACACAACATCAACGATCCTCTGACTGGTGAGTACGTTCCCCGCGCACACCGCTGCCGTATTACTCGGATGCAGCAGGCTCTCAGGCGGGATCCGGATGGTGACGGGTACAAGACACCCCGCGTTCAGCGGGATATCGCTGTCCAGCATCGCCCGAAGGCAGTAGATGACAGCACTGTGCACCACACTGATAGGCGCGTTCATGTTGTTCCTCACCTCCGGGCCAGTGCCTGTAAAGTCAAACAGTGCACTCCCTGACGCAGGGTCGATATCCACCGTAAGCTCGATCTAACGCACAAGAGACTCCGCGTCAGCTCCTCCTCCCTGAGGCAGAACGCGACTCACAGGCGATCCATCATCCAGAAAGTCCTTCCCATGCAGCCTGCGTCCCTTCTCCCCCGCAACCCTCCTCAACAACCCCCTCACGCTAGCCTCCGCGTTCCCCCTAATATGCGCCATATACTCCTGCACCGTCTCCAATCCATACTCCTCAATCAACTGATGCAAAAGCTGCACGCCCTTCCAATTCGCCGCCACCTGGGCTTTCAGATCACTTTCCACATCTCGGATGTTCCTGCACCCGGAACTGCCTTCCCATCGCGCGGGCGCATCGAGCATGTACTGGTGTAGCTGGGGAGTGTCGAAGTGCCCTCCGCGGACGAGCTTGAAGGAGATGATCTCGGCGCCTTCGTCTGCTAGGGTCGTGCTCGTGGGGGGCATGCTGCCGGGGAGGATCCCACCGACGTCGGCATGATGACCTCTGGAAGCGGTGAAGAATATGGGTTTGGCAGGAACGGAGGAGTCGGAGTGCGCAGTCGCTACACACACGAAAGTTTGAGTCAGGGTAGTGTGTACCTGGAGAAGGGAGGGACGCACCGGCAGGGAACACGGGAGTGATTATGGTTATATCTGGCAAATGCGACCCGCCTGCCCGGGGAGAGTTGGTCATCAGCACATCTCCCTCTTTCAGGTTATCCCCCAAGAGCTTCATCTGGTATTTGACCGCACTGCGCTTGCCCTCAGCATCCACGCACACAGAAGAGGAGTAGGAGTAGGAATGGGAGAGGTGCTCACAAGCTCATACTCCCCAAATGGACCGGGATGAACGGGGCGTTGGCTACCAGGTCCCCATCAGGCGCGAACAGAGCACAAGAGAAGTCCAAGCGCTCTTTGATGTTTGTGCTTATTGCGGTCTTTTGCAGAGATCGGCCCATGGCTTCTGCGACGGACATGAAACGGTTTGCGAAGAGGGTTAGGAGGATGGGGTCTGCTGGGTGTGCTGGTGTTGGGTGTGGGGAGGGGGAGGGAGGGGAGGAAGGGGTAGAGGAAGGTGGTGTAGGGGGAGATGGACGTTTGCTTTCACCCATGTTGTGTAGGAGGAGACGATGGAGGGAGGATGAAGAGCAGTAGCCAGCGTTAAGGTATAAGAGGCGAAGGAATGGTAGCGCCCATGTCCCATCCCGATACTCCGGTAAGCCGTGACCCGGCGTTCCGGCTTAAGACCCTGTTAGATCCCGCATCCCGGGTTACATAATCACTTCTCTTCAATGTCTGCTCCACTTCACTCTTCATCACTTAGAATTAGACCTAATTAATTACACACGTTTTCATTACAGCCCAGAGACATCATTACACACAATACTGACATCAATTACGCCTTCAATACTGTATAATTCCCATTCAAGTCCAGACCGACCCAATCCCGCCATCCCGACCACAGAACCCGAAAGATCCCCCAAACCCCGGATTCACAGCGGAGCCACGTGAGAACCCTGGGCGCTTACGCCTTCCTCTCAGGGGGCTCTCCCTCTCTTCTTACCTGCTGGCTCGGGTGTGAGTGAGGTATATACCTCCTCCTCTCCTCCTCCTCCCCTCCTCCCACTCCTCACCTCCCCTCACTCCCACTTCCTTCCTCAACAATGGGCGACAGCTACACAGTCCCCGACCGATCAATCGTACGCCCCTCCCCTCGTCTCCCCAAACTACTAACCCCTCCCACAGCGTATCTGCGCCGACCGCGGCGGTACATTCTGCGACGTCCACGCATCCTATCCCGACCCTCAGCACCCTTCTACCCGAAAAGAACTCGTCGTCAAGCTCCTCTCTGTCGATAGTGGCTACCCTGATGCTCCCACAGAGGGGATCCGCCGAGTGCTGGAACACGTCGAAGGACGCTCGATCCCCCGAGGCCAGGTGCTCAACACGGATAAGATCGACTATATCCGATTATCCACCACCGTCGCGACGAACGCGCTCCTCGAAAGGAAAGGACAGAAACACGCGCTAGTCATCACCCATGGATTCCGGGATTTGCTGCTCATCGGCACCCAGGCCCGCCCGAAGATATTCGACTTGGCTATCAAGCGCCCCTCGCCGCTGTATACCGCTGTGCTGGAAGTAGATGAGCGGGTCACCCTGGTGGGGTATACGAGCGACCCGGAGTCTGCAGAGAACAGCGTCAAGTTTGACCGGGAGGGTAAGGTCGTAGGAGGGAAGATGGATGACGTCGGCCCTGGAGAGGAAGTAGTCCAGGGTCTGTCGGGGGAAGCAGTGCGTATCCTGCGCCGTCCCGACCCGTCAAAGATCCTACAAGACCTGCGTTCCCTCCGCTCCCAGGGGTATACATCGCTCGCTGTCGTGCTCGTGCACAGCTACACCTTCCCAGCGCACGAGCTACTCGTTGGCCAACTGGCGCAGGAAGCGGGGTTCGAACACGTGAGCCTGAGCAGCCAGCTACTGCCGATGATCAAGCTCGTCCCGAGGGGTATATCCTGTACGGCCGATGCGTACCTTACGCCTATCCTCCAGTCGTACCTGGACGGGTTCTTCAAGGGGTTCGACTCGAAATTGCGGGGTCATCCTCATTCCTCCTCACCCTCCGCCTCACCCTCCCACTCGCAATCCGAATCCGAATCCCGATCTCGACCCCAAGATCAAGACCAGCTCCAGCTCCCAGCTCAAGGACCCCGCGTAGAGTTCATGTCCTCCGACGGCGGACTGCTAGACCTAGAGAACTTCAATGGTCTGAAGAGTATCCTCAGTGGGCCGGCGGGCGGAGTTGTAGGTTATGCACTGACGAGCTGGGACGAGGAGGAGAAGGTGTCGGTTATTGGGTGCGTTTTTGTTTTGTTTGCGTTCTTGGGTCGTTTTGTTCCCTTTCTGCCAATTGCGAATTGCGTGTTGCGGCCCTCTGTCCTTGTGCCTGTGCCTGTTCTCCTCGTTCGCGTGCTCATGATCACCCGCTCACCTTACTCACAGGATCGACGTGGGCGGCACATCAACCGACGTCTCCCGTTTCGCCGGCCGGTACGAAACAGTGTACGAAACCACCACCGCGGGGATAACGATCCAGTCTCCTCAACTGGACATCAACACCGTCGCAGCCGGCGGGGGCTCCTGCCTTTTCTGGCGTAATGGGCTATTCAACGCTGGTCCCGAATCGGCCGGCGCCCATCCGGGACCGGTGTGTTACCGCAAAGGGGGCATGTTAGCTGTAACAGATGCGAACCTTTTCCTCGGCAGGCTGTTACCAGAGTACTTTCCGAAGATCTTCGGTCCGGGGGAGGACGAGCCCCTGGACGGAGCAGCGAGTGCCCGGGCATTCGAGGCCCTTGCCCAGGAGATCAGGAGGGATACGAACCGGGATATGGGGCTGGACGAGATCGTTTATGGGTTTGTAAAGGTCGCAAACGAGACGATGTGTAGGCCTATTCGGGCGCTGACGGAAGCGAGGGGGTTCTCTACTGCGAAGCATATGTGCGTACGCGTTTTCCTCTCCCCGGTGCGGTGCGGTGCTGTGCTGTGCTCTGCGTGCCGACCCGCTGTTGGGCTTGACTGAGTGAGGTTTGTAGACTTGCGAGCTTTGGAGGTGCGGGAGGACAGCACGCGGTCGAGATTGCAAGACTGTTAGGGATGAAAAAGATCTTGATCCATAAATACAGTTCGATCCTTTCCGCCTACGGCTTAGCTCTCGCAGACCGGTGGGCCCCCCTCTACTCGTGCTGATGCTGATGCTGATGCTGATGCTATCCTTCACAGGATCTACGAGCGGCAAGAACCTTCCTCCGTCACCTACTCCCCCTCATCCCTAGTCCAGCTCAGGCAGCGAATCGACACGCTCGAAGCCGACGTCCGAGCCGAGCTCTCCCGCCAAGGCTTCGCGGCCGAAAACATCCTCACCGAGCCTTTCCTCAACATGCGGTTCGACGGGACGGACACGGCGCTTATGGTCCCTGCCCCGGCTGATGGGAGCTGGGACTTTGAGCGCCGGTTCAAGGAGGAGTATCGGCAGGAATTCGGGTTCGTCCTGGAGGACAAGGGCGTCGTGGTCGATGATCTTAAAGTGCGTGGGACGGGGAAGACGTACACATCTCTAGGGCCGAGCGTGCATCAGGAGATGAAGACCCTGCGCACGCGCTTAGTGGGAGAAGAGAAGATCTCGATGCATACCAAGGTGTTCTTTGAGCAGACTGGGAGGGTGGATACGCCTGTTTATGAGCTGGACAAGCTGGAAGTTGGAGACCAGATCAAGGGCCCGGCGATGGTCATCGATAACACGCAGACTATTGTGCTTGATAGTGGCAGCAAGGCTACTGTCACGAGTGGACATCTGTATATCGTTCTTGAGTAGATGTTTACACGTCTGAGTACTCGTTGGCAATATGGATGTAGCTATACGCAAATAGAACTTAGTGCACTTCAACGTCTTTAGTGCTGCATGTCCGCTCCGAGCGAGTTGATGAAAGCGATCCCCTCCTGGCGCCAATTGTCGAATTCGACGTAGCTCGACCCCAGCCAGTTGTTCTGGAACACCAGGTTCTTGGGAGAGCTGGAATACGAGGGCCAGAAAGGCGCGCCTTCCACTGTAGCATGCCGCTCAGAAACGTCATCCGCCAGTAATGGGAGAAGCCTACCTTGGCTGTAGTTCGGATCCAGGTTGTTGACAAAGCTAATCCACATGCTCGTCATGAGATTTGCGAGGGAGAGGTCGTTCGGCCTCGTGCCTAGAGGGTTCACATCTACCGCGAGCTGATTCGAGTAGACGTACGCGACCTCGACGTAGTGCATCACTGAACTGGGTGTCTAGTCAAATGGCGTGGGCACTGTGAAGCACTTGCCTGCGATTTCCTGCATCATGCAGGTGAGATTGGCTCTCGTTGACGAAGAACACGGCTCACCATCGTGTAATTGATCGGAACTTGATTGAATCGGTACTTCCATACAGGTTGGGTCTGACTGGCCACTTCGGCAAAGAGGCGGCTAGGAGCACGTCAGATAGTTCCCGATTAGCCCCACAAACGCCATACATGCCAGACACCATCAGCATGTCGCCAAAGATGGCTGCCGATTGCTTGTCAAGATATCCTGAGGGAAGCAGTCCATCGCCAGAGCCGTACGGGCAACCTGCGGGTACAACGTAAGTCGCATCCTACAACTGGCCATATCACAAACCGATGGCCGGATCGTTGGGATAGAGATCGATTACACGCTCAATTGATGCGTTGGAGAGTCGGGGATAATTCGCTGTGGATTTTCAGCCACAATGCCGCTCCTGAAAGGAGCCACTTACTACTCATCGCTGCCGCAAGTTGTTCCGTATTTTCAATACCATACACAGCAAAGGATGTACCCTCGTCGGTATTGCCTGCATGTCGTTTCATTAGACGTTTTGTCTGGGACTGCATATACTCACTTCCCATCAGCAACGGGACCTTGACGTATTCCCCTTGCTGTAGCATCTCAGTGGGGTATTCGGGGAGGAAATCGCCGTCAATAATAGGTTGCCATTGGTGAGAACCGTTAGCTGCCGCGTAGAAGGTGTCGTACGGAACGGTTCTCAGACATTCCGAAGTGTCTGTGGCGTTAGTACAGCCCGCTTTCTGGACAATCGCGTCATATAAGGGCTGAGTTTGATTGACGTCCAGGTAGTTTTCAGTAGTCGGGCTGCCGCTCTCCAGAATCGCCGCCCGGAACAGGTTATCGTTCCGTCCTCCGTACGCATTGAGCTGTGCTGCGATAGCCATGGCGCCCGCTGGATTGTGTCAGAGTACGAATGCTGATGAACCACGAACTACGCACCCGACTCGCCCATCAGCGTGACTTTCGTCGGGTCGCCGCCGAAGGCTGCAATATTCTCTTGCACCCAAGTCATAGCCACGCGCATGTCAAATAATCCAAGATTACCGACGCCAGCGTCGCGTACTTCTTGACTGTCGAGGAATCCAAATGCTGCGGCTCTGTAGTTGCAGTTGACGAACACCTGTGGGATCTCGTCAAACTCCGCCATAACAGCTCACACACCTTACTCACAACAGATTGTTTCATCTCAACAGACCGCTGTACGAACCAACTGCAGTTGTGCCTAATATCCCACTGTACTCGACCTTAATTCCGAGTAGGATTGTTCAGATCAACTAACTTACCTTACTTCCCATTTGATATCCCCCACCATAGATCCACAGAACTACAGGCAAATTCGATCCTTCGGACACAAAATTCGGGCGAACAACATTGATCGTAAGACAGTCTGAACACAAGTCAATTTCGGCTTCGAATCAAGTGATAGTGTCATGAACCCTCGGATTGTGGATACCCCGCATTGTCACATGTGCTAAATTTAGATGTCTCAGTCCCCAAACACCCTAGTCAAAACATACGAACTTGGTGCAATATCCCGGGCATATGGCTGAGTATTCCGATGCATTGCGGGTTCCTTCCCATGATGTGTTGAGGGAGAGCGGAGCGCGCAGCCTCGGATCACCGACAGGCGGCTGGGCAAAGGGCATGCCTAAGAACATCTGCTGTCCGAATGAATCAAGATTGACACCCGTGTATGTTCCATTCTTGATCGTCACGGTCAAAAGCGACGTCCACGCCACGACATCGCCGATGAAGAGGAGCAGTGACAGTGAGGCAGTGAGCAAAGCGAGCATTTCGATAACCTCTTAGATTCGTCACTTGTACCAACGCTGAGTGCGGGCGTCTTATTTAAATGCCGACCAACAACAACTCTCCAGAGGTGACCTCAGACACCAAGACACCCCGAGAAGGGAACAGGTCGAAGAATCTCAAGCCAACCTCCATCTACTACGTCTTGGGACCCAAATTTGTACAACAGCCGGCGGCGTTCTTTCTTCACGCGGACCTCCACAACAAAGAAGACGATCTCCATTGCCAGCAAGTCGACCATATGACAGGGTGCGCATGCCACAGCAAGAAGTGCAACAGGAACTCATTGGGAACGATGAGGGGGAAGTGCTGTTTCTGTCCGAACGTTAACTGGATGGGGAAATGGGGTCTGGAAAAGATAACACCGACAGAATCCTTATCACCGACCCGACCACCAATGAAAAGACAACACCATGATTTCATTCAATGTTCCAATACAGCATATGCTAATGTTGCAGCTCTGGACCTAAGGTGTTGATGAAGGCGATTCCATCCGAACGGAAGGTATCGTCCTCAACGTAACTAGTCGCGCCAAGTCCAGTGAACTGGAACACTATATTCTTGGGACCATCGGAATAGCTGGGCCAGTACGGGGCACCCGTCACGTGATTGTTGTTCGGATCCTGGTCGTGGACAAAGCTGATCCACATCGACGTCATGAGGTTGGCCAGAGCGAGATCGCGGGGACGGTTGCCTAACGGGTTCTGAGTCTTCAGGGGGTTAGAGAACACGTAGGCGACTTCGCTGAAGTGCGTTACTGGAACAAGTCAACAACCAGAGGCATTAGTTTATTCGGGCACGTACCTCCAGTTTCCATGGTATAATTGACGGGTATGGCATTAAATCGATATGAGTAGACTGGGGAGTAATAGCTCGCTTTCTCAGCTAACAAACGACGTGGTCCAACCATCACCTGTAGCCGCAATGTCAAGTGGACTACCCAGAGTTGAATCTGAACTGCTTACAATATCGCCCCCTATACTTGCACCTACCTTGTCTAGATATCCTGTGGAGAGCAGGCCGTCCCCGGTGTTGTATGGACAGCCTTCAGCGGGAACATTAGGATACAAGCTAATGATCTGGGCAATAGACGCGTTCGAAAGCATAGGATATCCAGCTGATAGACGGGTCAGTATATATTATCTGGGATCAGAGAAGAGTATTGCCTGCCAATCCAGCAGCCAGTTCTTCGGTCGTGTTAATACCATGACCGACGGTGAAGGAAGTTCCTTCGTCGGTGTTCCTGCCCCGATTAGCCGCATGCAAGCTTAAAGAAGACACACTTACGCGCCAATAAGGAGGGGGACTTTTATAAATTTGCCTTGATCCAACATCGCATTGGGACTTTCAGGAAGGAAAACACCATCGATGACTGGCTGCCAATTCGTTCCATTCGTCGCCGCACGGTAGGTGTCGTATAAAACACCACGCAGGCAGTTCAATGTGTCTGTGGCATTTGCGCATCTTGCCTTCACGAGGACGCTCTGGTAAAAGGGCTCGAGCTGCTGGATGCGGGCATAATTCTCGGTAGTGGGAGAGCCGGATTCCATGATCGCCCCTCTGAATAGACCGTCGTTCCTCCCACCATAGGCCGTGAGGTGATTGGCAATGCTCATCGCTCCCGCGCTTTCTCCCATGACAGTGACTTTGGTTGGATCGCCGCCGAATGTCGCAACATTCTCCTGGATCCATTGCAGAGCGAGGCGCTGGTCAAACAAGCCGAGATTCTCCAGGCCAGCAGCGTGAACTTCCGCACCACCGAGGAAGCCAAAGGCATGAACTCGGTAGTTGAAAGAAGCGAATATGATTGGGCTGCCCATTTCCATAGAGCGTTGGACAATCCAGCTTCCATTATAGCGGTGATCGGCCTTCGGACGTCATCAGCGCAAGACCAGTGAATGATGCGCTACGTACACTACCTCCCATGGAGAATCCTCCTCCCTATATCCATGCCACCACGGGTACGCTTGAACTTGCTGAGACGGTATTGGGGCGGATGATGTTAGCGGTCAGGCAGGCCTCGCTCAACTCGTATCCTTTGTCGTCGTCCGCCCCTGACGCGATGGGGAATCCGGGACAGATAGCGGAGTAATTCGATGCCGAACGTGTACCCGTCCAAGATTCATTCAGGGACAGAGGAGCGCGTAGCCTTAGATCACCAACAGGCTGCTGTGCGAAGGGCATCCCCAAGAAAAACTGTTGGCCGAATTCGTCGGCGTTGATGCCCTGATAGGTGCCATTGATCACCGTGGCAGTGGGCGGCGTCGTCCAAGCGAGTGCAGCAGCAGCGAGCGCCGCAATGTACAGAAGAGTCGTGATGGCCATTGGAAACAACGCACAACAGCGAAGAGACCTAGAATAGCATCACAGGCATATATAAGTAGAGCCAATGATATAAGGTTGCCTTTCGCAATTTTCACCTAGTCCACATTGCATTCCGATAATAACGCGGTCCGGTCCGAGTTATTCAGTCATGATGGTCAGCTGGAGAGGTTGAACGTTCGCATACCCCGTATGTCGCGGTGAGGAAAGTTGAAAGAAGACGAGAAGCCTTGAGGAAGGAGTGGGTGTGCGTCACGGGTTTTCCGGAAGTCAATAAAGAATCCTTTCGGCCCGATAGTCCAACAGCCTCGGAACATCTGCTCTCCCGATTCGCGTTCTGACTCATGAGGTTGTTGAGCAAGTTATACCGTTCGTGGATTGGTGCCCCTTTGCGACGAAGTCGGAGGCGGTACACCTAAGGTAGGGGAAGCACGTGACCAAACAGTCATGGTTTTTTCGTGATCCGCGGTGTGACAAGGTTGATCGCTACTTTCTTCGACCCCCCACGACCTTATGTAGCTCACAGCTCCATCCGTAAATCTCATCTACTTTTCACTCGATCACGCTTTTATGACTGTCTTTGCGTTGAAGGCGCTCACGATGTGCTAATCGGGCCGACCTACGTCTAGGCCTTTGCCCATGGAGATCGACCTGGCTTCTGTTCCTGTGGGACTCATGCTTCAACGTGTGGCTGGTTGATTGATGTGATTCATGTATGATGTGAATTCCATGCTTTCTCTGAGTTCAACAGAATCCCGGCTCCACAGGAGCTTGCCCCACCGCCTCACAGGACCTCGGCCCTGAACAGGATTGTATAAAAGACGACTTGGACTGTTATGACGCTGCCTCACGATCCATTTCGCCCCAGACACGAAGCTATTCCAATATGTCTATGCCGACAAGGAGGATCGCTAACACCGATGTATCGACCATTGGGTTTGGCGCAATGGGTATTGGCGGCGTGACCTTGTGAGCACCCGTGATGTTGAGAAATATCCGAATATTTGGGTGAACACTACCTTAGCGGCCCGACGGGAATGACCTTGGACGAGCGTCCTGCTGTTCTGGACCGTGCCTATGACCTTGGTTGCGCTTTTTGGGACACGTAAGCGATTCTTTCATAGACGAACGAGGCGTTCCTTAAGTGGTGGCTCATATTCCACGGAAAGGGCGAACGTCTACGGAGATTCTGAGATCCTCATCGGTGAATGGTTTAAACAGAATCCGGAGAAAGGACGCAACATCTTCCTTGCCACCAAGTTCGGATTCGTTGTTGATGAGCATGGCGTAACACTAGACCTCAGTCCAAAGGCTGCAAGAGAGTGTTGCGATAAGTCCCTCAAGAACCTCGGGGTGGATTACATTGATCTGTATTATGCTCATCGGTAAAGGTAATCCTGACCTCAAGTGGTATTGCCCTGGTCCAATCCTGATAGCGTGGATCCCAAGGTTCCTATCGAAATTACCGTAGGTGCCATGGCCGATCTCGCGAAGGAAGGTAAAATTCGCCACATCGGTCTCTCGGAGTGCACCGCCAAAGACATTCGCTGAGCGTATAATGTGTATCCCATTGCCGCTGTGCAGCTGGAATACGCACCCATCACCCTCGATATGGAGAATCCCCAAGTTGGCATCCTGTCTACCTGTCGGGAACTGGGCATCGCGGTAGTTCCTTGGAGCCCTTTGGCGAAGGGTGTTCTCATTGGACAATACGTAAGTTCTTCAGCATATGTAATGCGAAGAGAAACTAAGCATATCTATAGAAATCGCCCAACGAGTTCCCTGAAGGTGACTTGCGGCGTTTCACACCTCGATTTTCTGCAGAGAACTTCACGAAGCTCCTGCGGTTGTGACGCGTTGAAGACTATGGGCGAAAAGCACGGTGCGACAGCAGGGCAGATCGCTCTCGCATGGATCCTCGCTCAGGGCCCGGAGTTCCTCCCCATCCCAGGGACGAAATCAATCAAGGTTTACACCCTGTTCCTGATTACCGAATACGCTAGTCTAATCAGAGGAAGTATCTCGAGGAAAACGTCGGTGCGGCTTTCGTCAAACTCTCGAACGAGGAGGTCATGGAGATCCGCCGGCTGTGTGAGGAAAGCGGGGCGAACGATACGATACGAGCCACCTCCGTATATGGCTCTGGTCTATCAGGAATCAATTTCTCTGGAAGAGTGGAATGCTTAACTACCAATGATGTGCTTCAAAATCTACGTGTCTGTATCGTTACCAGCATCTGACTCCTACAGGATGAATAGCTGTGATTCCGATTTTTGCGATAGGTTGCTCCCACTGTCGAGGAAATGCCAACTTAGATTGTCACAATGTTTCCGAGATTTCCGAGAACCTTGTTCGACCTCAGCGACTCCAATCCCACTCAGTGGCTACGCAGGACCCAACATGATAGCTTCCCATGCCAACCCTGACCGTGGGAGTCTCAACAGACCGAACTTGATGCATATCTCAGTGAGTCTCATGCTCATAACTGAGGTTGGCTGTTGCACCCCTCCTCAAGCGCCTGCCCCATCCGTAGCACGACATACCAACGACCCACGTAATTGTGGTATGGCTTACCTATCAAAGAAAAGTGCTCCAAAAGTGGACCTCACTCATCCGCGACAACTAGGTACCTCACCCCAGCAGAAGATAACTTCGCGCCGTTCCTGGCGCATGAGACACGCAAACTAGCTCATAAGTGACACAACAATCCACATTCAATCTAATAATACAATCTGCCTCCTATGCCTTCCATTTCCCCGTATCCTCCCATCCAGCCATGCAGCCTATCCACACAATCCAAAAAAAAGCTACAAACAGTCCGTGTTCAACGAGTGATTAGCAGTCCTCCGGCAGCGGTGGGCGATCCAACGACATCCGGAGGTGGTTTTGGTTTCTGAAGGCGGGTATTGACAAGTCTGAGAGAGAGGGATGTAGGGTACTGTTGTGTGGACCAAGAGGTGTGTGGTATGTTGACAACATGCTTGCTCCCGAGGAGCGACCAAGAACGAAGAACGAATGGAGAATTGAAAGAACGAAGCGTTGAACGAAATATCACAAAGAGCATCCATGCGGGCGAATCTTCCGCCGTGTGCGATGAACCTCCAATGTTGAAGATAACAGAAAGACTACCGCCTCGGCCGGCCAGTAGGCAACTTCCTCAATTTTCCGGAATCAGCGCGCGGTCTCCCGCTCGCTGGGTCAGCCGCAGGGACGACCGGGGCAAGCGGTTCAGCAGGAGGCTCCCCGCGATACGCCTTAGCGATGTTCACCGCTGAACGGCGTTCCTTTACTTTCGGAGTTGCTTGTCCGGGTGTTTGCTCCTCGATGGGGGGAGGGCTGCCGACGCTGGCAGTGCGCCCTTGACTGCGCGGACGAACGGTAGCGCTACTCCTCGCGCTCCCTGCCACATACGCACCACTCATCCTCCCCTCGAACATCCTGCTAACCCTCTCCCTGGCCCCCACCGCCCCAGGGTCCTTATCCAAAGCAGACATCAAAGCAGACATAGAGCGCTCCATCTCTATCTCTCTGTATCTCTCGCTCTGGCCATCATCGTCCTCCCCTCTGGCAAAGGGGTTCCAGTGCCTAAGGCTGGGCTCAACATACGGCGGGTGAAGCGCCACCTCCCGCTCCAAGTCCCGGATTGAGAGTTCCTCATCCGCGGTGGACAGGAATGGATCTGGCTCATGGTAGGCCTGCCCTTGGCTGGGAGTAGGTGTCCGGTGTACATCCAAGTCTGCAACCCAGTCGTGTTCTCCACCAGAGGGGGCATCCCCGTGCACCACCCTAGGCGAAACGGACAGCGTACTCCCCTGTCCTGCCGAGCCAACAACCCCAAGGCCGGCATACACACCTCCTTCAGTGCTGTCGGTGTTGTCGGTATCGGTATCGGTGTCAAAGGCTTCGGTGGACGGAGTAGGAGGATGCGGGGCTCCAGGAAGGCTGGCTACACTTTCCGCGGGAAGAGCGTAAAACCCGCCCGCGCTCGTACGCCAGTTCCCCTCCGCCCTCGGGGGAACAGGGAAAGTTGGCAGCCCTTCTGTAGCTGTAGAAAGGAGGGCCATCCCTACGCCCGCTTCGTTTTGGGGGAGCACGCTGGCCAAGCTCGGGGTTGCCGAGTGCCGAGATCGCACGGTGTAGAACGTCGCTTCGCTCATTTCTGATAATGAGGGCTCCCGGTCATGTGCAGGAGCCGGGAGAAGCGGGCGTATACTTCCCCCTATTGTGCTCACCGTCGACGGGCGCACGTCCCTCGGCCTAGGCGGAGGAAGCACAGGCACAGCAAGTGCAGCAGGAGTTGGAGTGGGGAACGGGACGGGACTTGGGTCCCTGCCCGTTTCGCTCGTAGGGGTAACGTGCGTGTCTTCCGTCGCTGTTTCTGGACTGTGGAGGAACAGCCGGTTGAGCATGCTATCCCCCGTGTTTGGTGTATGAGGGTGGGTGCTTGGCATTGGTGCGGAAGCCAATGTCGCTGGGACTGAGGGGAGGGATGTAGGAGGCACAGTGCTGGGTGAAGGGGTAAACCGCAGCCCCCATGCTGCATGGAGGCTCTCGCTCGTATCGCCAGGATCGTATATCGGTGCTCGGAGACTCGGGGGGATCGCCCCAGGGCGTATGGTGAACCCGAAAGAGCTGCGCGAGCCTAGGGAACGACGTTTCTTGTGTCTGAACTCAGGGCGTTTTCTGGATCGCCGATGAAGGAAGTAAACCAGTATGCCGATGAGAATCAAGAGACCGACACCGCCCGCTATAGCTGCTGTTAAAGTTGTGGTAGGTGGAGAAGTGGGCGAGACGGATGATGAGGACGGCAGCGTGCCCGTGGGTGAGGAGACGGGGATAGTGGGAGCGTCGGTATTCCACCATGCATCTGAGGTGGACCCTCCAGGAGAAAGAAGAACATTAGTATCGGTGGGGAGGGCTTTGAAAACGGAAGAGATGCTGCTGGGAACGAGGTTGGTGGGGATAGCGGACATGGTGTGTTCTGGAGTGCTGGCTGTTGTTGCCCGCTTTTGATGTTTGATATTCGAGTGCAAGTGCGAGTGGTGAGCTGTTGTCGACCAGCGATAGTTTTCAAAAGAATGCAGTTGTTATTAACGAGAGTCGGAGTGAAAGATGTTTGTAGTGAAGTGAATGTTGATTTGAATGTTCAATCGAATGTCGAACCGAATGATCGAGCTTTACCCACGCCAAGACGACAGCGACAGGGTTGATCGTCGCCTTGAAAGGGTGTGAGCCTCCAATCTGACTCGATATCGGGCAGACCTAGCCCGTTCCTTCCAGCGAACGGACAGCAGACAGAAAAGAGTGAGGGACGAAAGTCGCGAGTGAAAGGAAGATATCGAAGCTGCGGAATGAACCTCGGTGATACAGTGCACATGTCGATAAACGATATTTTCCTTGGGCGGAACACTGTTCTCCCCAAATGTGGATATTCCGCTTGCCCAAGTTGACAGCCATTATTATCTGCATAGCAACTGCCTCTTCCTCGCCGGTGGGATCGGTATCCATCTCATGGTCAAAGGAGTCCCTGTCCGAACGAATTATTCACATTTCACACGGCACACGGCACATGGCACATCACGGCATAGGGTCTCGGAGCCGGGAAGGGGGGACACAGCCTTGTGTCATGTTTTGAGTGGGGAGTTCCTTTGTATTCATTCTAATCATTCCAACATCACATCAGCCTTAAGCCTTATAATCCTCCAAAGGCAGCGAGTCCTGGTACGCAAACTCATTATAATGCGCCTCAATCATACGGAGGGCGTCTCCTACCCCGCTTTCCCTTGCGAGTCGTCTGATCTCCTCCACTTCCTCCGGCCCCAGCTTGACATAGGCAGCGCCGATATTTTCTTCCAAGTACTACGAAAGCAATGAGCAATGAGCGGACTTCCTGATCTGTGGGGAGACACATTCACGGACCTTGATAGACTTCGTCCCTGGGATAGGGATGAAGTCCTCTCCCTGTGCCAAGACCCAGGCGAGCGCCACCTGCCCGGGCGTCGCCTGATGCCTGAGCCCGATCTCTCGCAATGCACCAGCAACAGCTAGGATCTTCGGAAAGTTCTCTTTCGAGAACCGGGGTACGATCCGTCGAATATCACCCTCTGGAAACTCGTCTGGCGATTTCTGCTCCAAGTCAACAACTGCTCGAAGAGCAGGCTAGGGAGATGCGCACATATTGGCCCGTGAGCACTCCCTTACCCAAAGGGCTAAAGGGGATCACAGCAATCCCCAGTTCTCTACACACCTTCAACACCCCGATCTTCGGGTCCTCAATATCCAGCGTAATAGGCGCGTACTCATATTGCGCGGCAGCGATTGGATGCACCGCGGCGGCACGTCGGAGGGCGCTAGCGGAGCACTCGGATAACCCGATATAGCGGACTTTGCCTTCTTTTACCAGTTCGGCCATCGCCCGTACCGTCACCTCCACAGGCACTTTCGGGTCAACCCTGACACCTGCCAATCCAAACTGACGAGCAAATGAGGGAAGGGAACACCCACCGATGCGCATAAAACAAGTCTATCGTCTCCACCCCCAGGATCTTCAACGATCGCTCGCAGCACTCCCTTGCCGCCTGCAGGCTTAGGTCCAGGCCTATCTTTTGCCCCTCCCGCTTGAACCCAAATTTGGTAGCGATGAAGACCTTGGACCGTTTTGAAGGGTTGCGGCGGAGCCATTCGCCCAGGAGGGGTTCGGCGTCGCCGTATATGTTCGCACTTCCCCGTCTGCAGTCAGCGGCGCTCCTAGTCAGGGAACGAGGTGTACTTGTCCCAAAACGTGCAGCCCAGCTCGAACACCCTATCTAGCAGAGCCAGTCTTTCCTCCCATCCCCCCGCAGGCCCGCTGCAGAGCGCAAGTTCAGCGTGCGCGTGCCTAGGTGCAGGGGACAGACATACAACGCGATCCCCCCCAGACCCATCATCCCGAACCCGATGGCGGACACGTCGTCTGTCCCGATCTTGCGCGTTGGCATAGGCATGATTCTTTAGCGGCCCGAGGGACAGGATGTGATAGGATAGATAGCCGAGCGGTTGCGAGCGGTTTTATGCTGCAGCTCAAAAGAACAAGCCCATGTTTGAGTGCCGAATTTTCCACCGTATCCCCACGGGAAGCCGCGACTATCATTCACGCACGTCAACACTCTTCATGGCCAGAAAATAGCAACGCCATCAACCAACAACTAACATCATGATGTGCCTTGACCGAAAACGTGGGGCATGCGTGGAATCCAGAACAGGTTAGGCCCACGTGCTCAGGGTGGGCGTGGGGAGGTGTTGGAGCGGTCCGGCATGCTCCCATGCTGGAATCAGAAGAACTCGGAATGCCGGGAAGTTGACGGATATCTCAGAGCGCTAGGATCGTTGGAAGAGGTCGGAATGCCGGGAAGTCAACGAATATCCCAGTTGGAAGAAGTCAGAATGCCGGGAAGTTTACGGGGGACTAACATCTTAGATTAAATTTGATGAATATGAGCATCCCAGTTAGGCTCTTTGATGTGGTTCATAAAGCGCGGCAACTGACGAACTAACAAGTTTCATCCCAATAGTTTACAAAGCTTTCCTTCACTGCGCTCGAGAGTGTGATTCAAGAGACCAGGGCAGAGTGGGCGGATGAGAATCGCGACACTCGCTTCGTCTCGCAGAGCTGGCGAAGCTCACCCAGGTTTATCAAGATCTTGACGGACGAATGTTAGAGATTGGCAGGAAGCGCCGTAATGGCGCAAGCACCGACTCAAGTCCGATGGGCGCAACGACGAGCTTAGACCCCACCCGTGGGCCACACCCAAACAGAGAAGCAAGGGTATATTGTCCACACACGTATAAATTACTCGCGTCATACAAGCAACATTTCGCTCAGGATTTGACCGCACCGTCCTTCACCCAAGTCCACTTAGTATTGCTGCGCATGACACCTTCCTCCTCGTCTATCACGTACGCGAAACTGCCGCTCCATACCCCACCTGCCGCCTTTCCAGTTCCCTGCCATTGGTCCCCCCTGAGCCCGCCGTCGGGCGCGAATCGTTTAAACGGCTCTGGCCATAGGGAGCTTGTCCACCGTAGGCGCCGTAGTAGGGTCCTTGCGCCGAAGGGGGGGCCTCGAGACCGGAGGAAGAAGAGACGTAGATCATGGGAGGGGGCCTGCGCGCGTTCCGCCGGCGGGAAAAGCAGCAGCAGCAGCAGAGGGTGATGAGGGTGAGCACAAGGAGCGCGAGGATTGTCGCGCAGAGGATGACGAAGATCTTCTGGTGCGTTGAGAGCGCGTCGCATGTGAGCTTGCCGCTGCTGTGGGGGATTAGTACGATCCGAGAGCGACGTAGGGAGATACGCACTTGAATTGGCAGTAAGGAACTGCATTGTCCAACAGCGTCTTGTGAACCGGTGCGGGAGCAGCAGCAGCAGCGGTCAAAGCGGGCCGAGTAGCATTCAGGACCGTCTGCGTATTGAGGCTGTGCGAGGGTGAATGAGCAGGTGCAGCATGCGCAGGTGCAGCAGACGAGGACGAATGAGTAGCATTCAGTACCGTCTGGGTATTGAGGCTGGCCGAGGGTGAATGAGCAGGTGCAGCAGGCGCAGGTGCAGCAGGCGAAGGTACAGCATGCACAGATGCAGCAGGCGAAGGTGCAGCATGCGCAGATGCAGCATGCGCAGATGCAGCAGGCGAAGGTGCAGAAGGCGAAGGTGCAGAAGGCGTAGGGGCACCCCCGCCCGGGAATTCGTCTTCCTCATAATTGAAATCGGAAGCAGCGATTGCGCGGGCAGCAAGCCCCATAAATGCGAGTGCGAATGCAGACATTGAGCGTATTTGACGGTTATTCGTGTTGTTGGGTTTTTCTTGTGCAATGATAGGCTTTGGCGACCAGCGCGGAGTTTGGGGTGCGACCAGCGCGAAGAGGAGAGTGTGTGGGTAGACTGTGAAGAACTTGTCATCCTCACTCCTGCGGGTTATAACCTCCCAGGAGGAGGGGATGAAACGTGTTCCCATTCGGGCATCGCCCCCTGCTCCCCGTGCGTGCCGGGATGATGACGCCCGGCTTGCTTTGAGCACTTAGTTCCCGTCATAGCCTGGAACAGCCTGTAATACAGTGTTATATAGTAAGGAGATTGGATTGATCAATAGCCGTAGGAAACAGCACAGGCGCTCTACCGAAAGTTACTTCTGGTGGTCAAACATCAAAGAGGCAGGGGAGGCGGCGGTGTCAGGGAAAAGCAGTAATATATTAATATGTTATCACGTGTGAGAGAGCATAGCCACTAGGAGCACTTCATTTCCACGACGCCGACGCGACTGACGCCCGGTGCAAACTGCAACCAATACCGACCGAGCCTCGTCCGCCGTCACCGTCCTCCCCATTGTCGTCGTGCAGAATCCTCACGCTTGAAGACGGGAAACATGGTACGTTTGTCACCTTCCTACTCACACAGCCTTACATTAACGAATGCGAACCCCTAGAGCGCATTATTCAATTTCCAATCCCTCCTGCTCGTCCTCCTTCTCCTGATCTGCACGTGTACCTATGTCCGAGCGGTGATGCCCCGATTAATCGATAGCAACAAGAGTGGGTTCTTAGGGGTGTTCTGGATGAGCGCGAGAATAGGTGCGTCCCCTTTTTTTCTGGGTATGAAGAGACGGTGCTTATGCTTGGGGTAGGAGAACGACTCTCGCCTTACGTTGCAATAGCCTGTGTGGTTATGGCAGTGACGATCTTGACACAGTAGCCGCCCTTCTGTACCGCTTGCAGTTCATTTCCGCTTATTGCCTTTGTCCCCCACCTGTATTCCTACTTCACCGCATGTATACCCCGCTGACTATTCACCAAAATCTTACTCAAATGGCTTACACTACTATTACAAGATCTCGAGAAAAAAATCCAACCCTGATCTAAGGAATGCCAGCACTACGCCTCAACCGCCTTGCCTCTCTGTGCTGCGGCTCCCGCTTTCCGTCTTCTCTCAGGCGCATGATCCTGGTTTGTAGAGTCATACAACGCCGAAGTGCTTCTTTGAGCCGTCCTCTGCTGGCCGTCAGTGCCCACCCGCCGTTCAAAGAAAAGCACTTACCTCAACCACACTGGTGCCATCTCTGAACCGAGCTCTAAAGAGCACGTTCGCATTCGTGAACAGGCCTTCTTTGAGCGAGACGACAATAAATTGACTTCCCCTGAACCTCGTCCTAAACAGCTGGCCAATGTGTTGCGTATGACTCAAATCCAGCGCAGCGTCGATCTCATCAAGGATATACATCGGTGCGGGCTTGAACTGGAGAAGGGACATGATGAGGGAGAGGGCGATGAGTGAGCGCTGCCCTCCTGAGAGCTCGGTGAGGGACTGTTTCCAGACGCTGCCGAGGCGGACTTTCACTTCCAGCCCGGAGGTCAGGTCAGATCCTTCGGGAGGCTCGAGTTTGGCAAAATTTCCCGGTAAGAGCTCGGCGAAAATCCCTCCAAAGTCACTGCAAGCAAGTCAGGAACAATGAGCCAGGGAAGGGAAGACGAAGGAAAACTCACCCGTTCACCTTCTTCCACGTCTTTTGAAGGGCTTCGAGCTTGTACCTGTCGAGTTCGGCAATCGTTTCCTGGATCTTACCCTTGTCCGCGAGCACAGTCGTGAGCATTTTCTTCAACGTCGATTCTTTCTTCTCAACACTGCCGACCCTTCAGCTGGAATACGAGGCCAGAGATAGGTACTCACTCATCAATCATGCTCATGACCCGTGGGTTGATCTTCTTCTTCATCCCCAACTGCTGCTGCTCCAGTTCCCTTGCCCGTTCCCTCAAATCAGGCACGTTAACACTCTTGAAATCATACGGTGTTCCTTGTTTTCCAAACTGGCCCTTTTCTTCTAAAATCCAGGGGAATTGTTTCTCCAAACGTTGGGCAGCATTCAAAGCAGCAGTACGGTCTTTCTGCAGCTGCGCAGATTCGTGCTCAAGCCGCTTCATCTCCAGTTCCGCTTCCTGCACCTCGTCCTGCTTCGCCTTGATCACTTCCTCCAACTCGCGGATGTCCTCATCAAACGCGGTAAGCGTCGCCCGCTCTTTGGCCAGCCTTGCCTCGGCAGAATCGTGCTTCGCTTGAGCGGCATCCCGATGTTTTTGGAGCGCGGCGAGCTCAGACTGAAGCTTCTTCACGCTCAAGTTGGCTTCCTCGATCTCGGCTTGCGCTGATTCGATGTCCTTCACAGTCTGCTCCATTTCAAGCTCTGCAGTCTGCATGTCTTTCTGCACTGACTTGAGCGCGACGGATTGCTTGTTCAGGTTTTCCTTTTGTTTAGCGATGTCAGACTGAACTCGGTTTAGTGTCGTTCGCAGCTCATGACTCAGCATTTCGCACCTTGAGTTCCCTAATCTTGCCCTCTTTGTTGCCTTTGAACTCCTCCATATCCTTTTCGATCTTGGAGATCTCAGCTTCGGCTTCCTTCTGCTTCGCTTTGGACACTTTTAAGCTGTCCTCGATTTCTTTCAGGGATTGCTTGATGTCATCTATATTTTGCTTGAGCTGCAAGTGGTCAGAACGGCACTGAAGGCAAGTGTGCATGACCCACGATAGCAGCGTTACCGCCAGAGACACGCTCCTCCATCAAAGTCATCTCATGACTCTTGATCTCGAGCTCCCGTCGCCTCTCCTCCCACCTCTTTGCTTTTTCCCTAGTCTGTTCCCACTCATTCTTCACCTGAGCTCCTTCTCGTTGAGCCTCCTCCAGCTCGGCCTCACATTCTTTCAGCTCCATCACTTTGATCAATATGCCGCTACCGCTCGGCTTGGAGCCCCCAGATAGTGTACCAGAAGGGTCATATACATCACCGTCGAGCGTGACCGACTTCATTCCAACTTGAGGCGAGAACGTGACTGCCTGGGCTGATGCGGAGTCCGAACAGATCAAGGTATCGCCGAATACGTAGGACATTGCTGCCTTCACTTCATGTTCGAAGCCGACAAGAGAAAGAGCAACATTGACTTTCCCCGGTGCAATCTGGTTCGCGGCATTTAGTTTCTTAGCAAAGAGTCAGCCTCGCTTCAATGCATTAAACTGTGGGAACACACTTCTGTTGGGACCTTTGGCTGGTTAATCTTGTTGAGCGGGATGATGGTTACGCGTTTCTTCAATTGCCCCTTCTGCAACAGGTCACTGCCAACTTTCTCGTTCTCCACCACAACATTATATAACTTGCCTCCCGCAGCGATTTCCAGGGCAGTTGATGACGCATGGGATGAAGCAGGAAGATCGACCAGCTTCGCTACCAGACCATGTACCTTGCTGGTGTCGAAGTTGCTTGATGGCGGTGTATAGCTGAACTCGAGCGCAGAAAGCTTTGACCGCAAGGCGTCTCGCTGTTCTGTAAGTTCAGCGATGCGAGCACGACATGTTCGCCTGCGTTCATCGAGCTCTTTCTCGCGTTCTTCGCCCCAGTTCTCGTTCTCCACTTCTCTCTTGAGCTTGTCCACTTCTTTAGTCATCTTCTCCAGTACCTTTCTTCCCTCCACACCTTCCTTCTCGCTTTCTTTCATTTTTGCCTCCTTCCCTTTAAGCTCGGTTTGAAGCATCTTCTGCTTAGCTGCGCCTTGCTGATCAAAGGATGACAGTGAAGCGAGATCTTGACGGAGCTGGGATAGTCGCCCAAGGTAACCAGAGGACGTCGATGATTTATTCGTGGACAAGCCCGTAAGAAGAGTTTGCAGGAGCTCCGAGCTGGTCGAGACCTTCTCCGCAAGCTCGTCGTGTTTTCTCTTCGCATCCGCAAAGGCCTTCTCCGTCTTCGCCACGTCCTTCTCTTTCTCCGTTTTCTTGACCGAGAGGTCGCCCATGCCTGCCGCAAGCTCCTTCACGTGACCCTCTTCTTCCTTCACGCTGCCGAGTTTCATATCCATCTGCGTGCTGAGCCTGACCACCTCCGTGCCAGCACTCTTCACCTCCTCCTCGAGCTTGCTAAACTTGCCCGACTTCTTCAGCTCCGCATCGCGAGCCTTCTCGACCTTAGACTTCTCTGCTTCTGCTCGCTTGCTCTCCTCCTTTGCGATCGACTTTGCCGCCTCCGCTTTTCCGATTGCCCCTTTATTCTTTTCGACTGCCGCAACCTTGGCAGCTTCTCGTTGCCGGCGATCGGTCCACTCGTAAGCAGTCAGCAAGCGAGAGAGACGTTCGAGCTCGGAGGATGTCTTCTGGTACGCGAGGAAGGAACGCTTCTCTTCTCGAAGTTTGTCTAGCTTAGGTGTAATCTCTTCGTTCAAGATCTACTAAGAGCGTCAATGCCCAATTCTTTACATAGCACCGGAGCACATACACTTGTGATCTCCTCCACCCTCTTCTCCTTCTTCGCGATAGTCTTGATCGCCTTCTCTTTCCGGTCCTCAAACATGCGTGTTCCGCTTGCTTCTTCGACCATTCCTAGCACCTCCTGCGGCTTCATGTTGAGCACTTTGGTAATCTTGCCTTGCATGATGAGGAAGTTGGGGTTGTTCACATTCAGTTGCACGGATTGAAAGAGATTCTGAATTTGCTGTACAGTAGCTTTGTGTCCATTGAGTAGGTATTTGCTGATGTTTGGCAATGCGATCTACGTAAGTAACGTCAGTCTTCGGTAGGAGTAAAGGGCTCTGCCACACACCTGTCGTGTTACTGTAATCTGGGCTAAATCCTCAAATCCCACTGGGCTCGTACTCCGATCTGAATTATCGAATACCACAGTAACGCTTGCCTTGCTTATCCCCGCTTGCCCCTTCTTGTAGATCAGATCTGCTTGGCTCGTGGCTCGAACCGCTTGCAGGTTCGTAATACCAAGCACAAAGCATATTGCATCGAGAATGTTGGACTTTCCGGAACCATTAAGACCTGTGATGGCGTTGAAGCTTGGATCCCAGCCGGTGATTGTCGTTCGCACAGGGTATGACTTGAACCCCTCGAGGACCAGTTCCTCGATTCGCATTTCGACAGAAAGAAACGGCGGATGGGTGACGATGGAGTGTCAAGGTGAGATGATTTCCGTCTGCCTAGGGCGAAAAGTATAAGACACAAAGGTGCCGAGCGCTGATCGTTGGACTCGACGATGTGGATGCGAAATGGACGGCGTCGACGCGTGAAAATGAGGGACGCGACGCGTCGCACGTCGCGTGACTGAGGTTGACCCTCTTCACCCATCATGTTCTCCATCTGAGAGGGACCGATGGGAGCTTGGTTTATCTCCACTCCATGCCTCCCTCAAAACAATCAGCCAATGAGATACTCCTGGACTATAAATTGTCATTCTCTAAGTTACAGCACAGACTTGTTCAGCCCTGAATGGTTGGCATGCTTCTCGTTTGGACGCAAGCCTTATCCCGACAACGAGTGGAGTTCGCTGGTGACCGGCACTCCATCGATTGGGATGCAGAAGTCTTCTTTCGCTCCTATATTATCCTCTTGACCACTGCGAGTTCTGCATGCGCACATGAGCTGCGATGGTGCATCTGCCCCAACTATTCCCGAACGATGAACAGCTAGGAGTCCATATACTTGCATTATGGAATAGGTGTAGGAACATGACTCTGCGCATTTCCGGAGTCGGCTACGATCAACTCAAGCTGCTGCTTCCTCCCAAGTTACCGTGATGTCCCGTGCTTGCGATTTTGCTTGCTTGTGATCCAAGGGACTCGATGTCGAGAGACGACTACGGCATCTTCAAATTGACATCAATGAATGCATGTCGTCCGTGCCTGAGGGCAGGAACGTACTTAGATTCCCGGCTCAGTCACCTCACGGCGGTCAAAGTGTGGTGTGCAATATAGCTTACCAAGTGCACCGTAAAAGTGATGAGATTTGGACTGAAGACTGGACTGAAGACGGCGGTGAATACGCCGCACGCCAGCGCACCGACACCTCCACTCCAGCGATCTCGCATCCCTATTTGCACCTCCGGCTCTGTAAATAAGACTGTACCATACTGTTATCGCATTACGGATCCCTTGCACCCATTTGCTGTTGACCAATCCTTCAAACGCCCCAATCCGCTAGCAATGACGATCACCCACATAGTTCTCTTCGCCCTCTCACCCACTGCCCCCGCGTCCGCCCTGGTATCCTTGTCTGCTAACTTCCTCGCCCTCAAGGATAAATGTGTCAAGCCCGACGGGACGCGGTATATCAAAAGTTTGATAGGCGGAAAGCAGACGAGTCCGGAAGGGAAAGGGAAGGGCTTGCAGGTGCGTCGGTTTTTCGGCTATAAGGGAACAGCAGACTGAGACGGGACGACGGGGTACGTAGGTTGGTTTCGTGGTAGAGTTCGAGGTATGCACCAACATTGGATAAGTGTGAAATATTGATGGATGGTCGTGTGATAGAACGAGGAAGACAGGTCGTACTACCTCGAGAAGGATCCTGAGCACCTCGCATTCGCGGTATACCCTTTGAAAACCTCTTTGGAAGGCCACAAGCTGACCGCACCGTGTAGGCCAGCGCAGGAGCAGTAGTTGGAGATGCCTGCGTGTTTGATTTTACGCCAGGAGAGTTCTGAGAGAAAGAGCAGACATTATAATGGTGCCTGAACGCTGCGAAACGTCATGATATCTAGTAGATAACACAGATTATCACCATCGTATACAGATGCGCACAATATATGCAACCCCACAACGGTTCGCTCCCCTTATGCCCAACAGCACACCGCAGCATACTGCATGGTAAACATCACAGATGCGCACGGTTCATTTTCATCTCCTCCTGTCATGCCCTTCCCCAACCATCAACGAGCGCCATTCACTCTCTTCATGCACCAGCTGCTTTGGCAACCTCCTTCGCTTGCTTAGCGGCCGCAGCGGCCGCCTTATCCGCTGCCAGCTGTGCATCTTGAGCTGCCACTCCCGCAGGGCCGAGCTTCTTCTCCCGCCCGCCCATATACCAGTAGTTCACAAAACGGGCGCCTTGTACCAGCTGTGCGGTGGTATTGGTGGCGTGACAGGCGAAGAGGAGATAATTCCGTGGCTGGACACGCCAAGCTGTAGAGGTACCGAAGTACCGGAAATCAGAATGTATGCTCGATTGGGAAGCGCGAGCACGCGAGCCAAAAAGACGCACCAAACCGCATGAAGACCATCCTAGAACCTTGTCAATGAAGAGGCAGCACCTAGCAAATAGAATTACGCACGAATAAGCTGCTAGCGCGGTGGTCATCGGACCAGAGATGACCGTCTCATCCTTCTGGACATCGGCAATGGCGGCAAGAGGCAGACCCCAATTTGCGACCTGTCAAAGTCGATGAACAATTTGTGGACATGTAGAACTGAGAGAGCGTACAGGCCCCCAGAAATGTGTACCTATGTGACGATCAATATGAGTTTCAGCTGGGAGAAAGAGACGAATTGACATACTGAAGAAATACTCCCTCGCCTTCGGACTCTTGAGCCAGTTGATGAACGTTGAAGCCATTTTCCCTTGGTCTCTTGTGCAAATCCCAGTACAGAGGGTATGTAGAGCAAAGCAGCGAGACGACAAGTAGCGCTGAGTGAGCAACGAGGTCGAGATGGTCGACGGTCGGGGAGGTGATGAACGTGTTAGAATGGGGACGACGTGGGCCGAGGAATATACGCGGCAAAAGTAAAGTGTAATCCGAAGCTCAGGACTTTGGTGACTCAGCACTCCTGACTCAGCATTATTGACCCCACTCTGCCAATTTCGTACACGTCTGTCCTCGTGCTACCATGCCTCCCGGCGATGTGGGAGAACTCAACAAACTCAGGGAACGAGTAGAGCGCTTGGAAAGGATTGTCATCCAAGAGCGGATCGCGAGGGAAACGGCGGAAGCCGGTGCGCACGGCCTTTCTCTTTCCTCGCGTGATCACTCACATGTCGCAGACCTCCGCGACGCCCAGGCCGCTACCGCAAAAGCAGAAGAGGCGAATGAAGCTCTGCAGCAGCAATTATTTGAGTTGGGAGAGAAGATCGGTATGGGTCGACATGTGCCTCCTAAGGAGAGGGTCTTGCAGTTGGCGAGCAATCCGGAGAGCGACCATTTTGCGGTTAGAGCAGAACAGTTAGACGCCGTACGTCCTTAATTTCGGCTACCGCCCTCCCTATGCAGCCGCGGTGCTACGGGAGCTGTATCTACGTGTACTGATTCAGATTCTCAGTTACGGGCAGAAAGAGACGCACTCCTGACCACGCAACAGGCCAAAGGCTGGGTACCCGCCGAATCCTGGTTGGCGGTACAACGCGAAAAGGCTGCTTTAGAACTAGAAGCGAAGCAGCGCGAGAAGCGCATGCTGCGCCTCAAGCAAGTCTTCGCCGCCAAGGCTGCCGAATTCCGCGAAGCGGTCACCTCCATCCTTGGCTACAAGCTTAACTTCTCGGGCAACGGACGCGTGCGCTTAACGAGCATCTACGACAAAAGCACGGCGCTCGTTTTCCAGAGCTCGGAAGACGGCAGCAATACCGGAAGTATGAGGCTGATTGGGGTTGGAGAGCGCGCGGAGCAGGGGGAGATGGCGGAGGGTGAAGGGATCAGCGGAGCGCTCGAGTTCTGGGTCAGGCAGCGAGGGAGTATACCGTGTTTCCTGAGCCAGCTTACGATCGAGTGTTTTGAGAAGACGACGATGGGTAGGAGGGCGGGATACGCGGTGGGCGAGCTTGAAGGTGAAGAATGAGCGAACAGGCTACACAGCGTGGAGGGAATAGAGGCGGTCTCGTTGTATTTCTACTGTGCTTTGCTTAATGGGTTCATTGGCCACTCTACGGTGCATCGAAATGCGGATTTTGGGTTGTATTGCTCACTTTCTGCTTTCGTGTAAGACTTTCCAACTAGCTTTCTTTCGTGCGCTAACTCGGCCGACTAAGGTCTGTCCAGTTCAAAACTGGACCAGAAAATAAAGGTCACGTGAGAGGTAGAATCCCCGAAAATCCCTATAGCCGAAAGGAAGGCTAATCGCCGACGCGAGGAGATTTCGTTCCATGCCGCCAACTGGAGTAATAGGAGCTTTACTTTTCTTTCGGCTAGCTCCATCATTCGGCTAGCTCCATCATCTATACACCAGAGTTCAACACAGACCAAATTTGGAGGAACGTAGCATCCTACTGCCTGTCCATGACCACACATGCCCGGTGGGCGACCCTAGAAGCATGGAGCACTTCTCATGGGCCCTTGTATGGATTTCCTCCCGCCTGTTTTCGCCTACGTTCTCTTGCTTGGATAGGCTGCTCATGATGTTGAATGCCTTTCAAGGGCCCACTTTATTACTTGCAAGTCGTTCTTGTAATGCTAATCACGGTATTTGCGAACTGGTGCTGGCACGGGGTTCAATTACATGGGCTGTGGTGGGGTTGATCCTCTCCCCCAGTTTAATCTCTTGATCCATCCTCGCACTCTCATCTCACGTTACCTATGAGGGGTATAAAAACTCGCGACATGATTACCATGTCGTGACTTCTAAGAATTGCTCTAGGCTAAACTCCCTCCAGCCTTCTTCCAAACAAGTAGAACTTGATCCACCATGTCTCCGACCGACATGCCCACTCGCACACTTGGTCATGCCCGCGTGTCTGCTATCGGCTTTGGCGCTATGGGCATTGGCGGCTATTGCTAGTGCGCCCTTCATGCATTTCCTGATCTTGTACCTGGTTTATTTGACGTTTGTATCAGTGGAAGTGATGTTGGGAGCGATGAGCAGCGTTTCAAAGTGCTTGACCGAGCCTACGAACTCGGCTGCAGGTTTTGGGATACGTCTGTCGCATACCCTCCTCGAGCCCTGCACAGTACTCACTGTTTCTTTGCTACAGAGCCAACATTTACGGTGATTCGGAGGAACTGATCGGCCGATGGTTCGCCGCCAATCCCGACAAGAGGAAGAACATCTTTCTCGCCACCAAGTTTGGCATCCGTAACAGCGCCATCGCGGAACAAACGGATTCTGACGACTCAAACCCAAGGGTTGATGGAAGTCCTGAGAACGTGCGACTGAGCTGCGAGCTCGCACTGAAGAAGCTGCAAGTCGATAGTATCGACCTTTTTTACATTCATCGGTGCGTCAAATTGAATACGCCTAGAGATTAAAAGTTCACAGGATTGGGATGGATTAGCATCGATGCCCGCATTCCGATCGAGATTACCGTGCAAGCAATGGTCGATCTAGTCAAGGCTGGTAAAGTTCGTTACCTCGGCCTGTCAGATCCATCCTCTTTAGCCCTCCGTCGGGCTCATGCCGTGCATCCCATTACCGCGGTTCAGGTCGAGTACGCCCCGACCACGTTGGATATCGAAGATCCGAAAATCGGCCTTCTGCAAGCTTGTCGTGAACTGGGAGTCAAGGTCATCCCATGGAGCCCGCTCGGCCGAGGCATTTTGACAGGACAATACGTATGTGCACCCACCAGATTTCAAGACTCTATATTGATTTTTTAAATCCAGAAATCGGCTGACGAGTTTCCTCCCGACGATTATCGCCGCATCTTGCCCCGTTTCCGGCCGGAGAACTTCCCCAAGGTTCTCAAGGCCGCTGATACATTGAAAGAAATCGCGGATAACCACGGCGCAACAGCTGGGCAGGTTGCTCTGGCCTGGATCTTGGCCCAAGGGGATGATTTCATCCCTATCCCGGGGACGAAAACGTGAAGGTGCGCTTACCCCTTTCCAAGTGTGGATCATGACATTAACGGGAATGGGACGCACAACAGTATCTTGAACAGAATATCGCTGCGGCTTATATCAAACTGTCGCAGGCTGAAATCGATAGGGTGAGGAGGGTGGCCATCGACAGCGGTGCGGCGGATACTATGCGGTCATTGGCACAGCACATGAAGTTATTCTTCGTTGACTCTCCGCCTTTGGAGGGGTATATTGCTTAGTCTCCTAGCACATCAGAAAGGGTTATCTGTCAGAAAATCATAAATAACCAACGCCGGGATTGCTTGAAAGCACAATCCTACGTGCGTGGGCGGTGACAGACCTACATACGAGATAAGATTTTGTTTTGATCAAAGTACTCCGTGGAATACTTCAGAACACTAGGAAGGCGGGCCGAGAAAACACATGCTTATTCAAGTCTGTCTGCTTCTGTGATTCCGTGCTTCTGCACAGCCCATCGGAGACCGATCGTCATAGATTGATGCGGAGTTAACGGAGCACTCTTTTGCCATTGTAGCTGTTTTCCAGGCCCTTCCGACGGTAGTCGTTTCCGAGACAAGGATTTGTTAACTCTTTTCTGCCCCATGGCTCCATTCAAACCAGAATTTTCTCGGCCCAATAGAAAGGACAATTCCAGGAGGGGATCAATGTGGCCATTCGAAGGAAAAGGAAAGCCTTGCGGAACGAACACAAGTCTTGAACTTCCTGTGTGATTCCCTTCTGTGGTCCATGATTCGGACAGTAGTGGGTGGCAAAGCTTACACGTGCACACCTTTGCACTGCAGGTGTTCACTGAAGTATATGGGGTCAGGTGCTCCTGTGGAAGGGAATCTGATCCGATACAACGAAATGCTATCATTCTGTATGTCTGTGTTACATGAGAGTGTGTTGCACTGTAGTGGTTGCAGAAGAAGTCATCTATTGCGGAAATGCACCGATTCTGCAGGTATTTCATAGGGAGAATTGGAAGGAGTGAAGAGAAGGCAGTGAATTGAGCACGGTGTGCGGTGAACTTTGGCGACAGAGGCTGCCAGCCTTCGATAAATTCTAGGGGGCTTAGATGAGCTTCGCCTGCCTCCACTCCGTGACCTTCATCTGGCTTGGATCCCACTGCAGCAATTCTGTTGGTGTATTTCTCGGTATTGGTCAATACGAGGATTCTCACCACTTTGTTGGTGAAATACGGGTCCTGCTCAAGCAGCTTTTTAGCTTCCTCAAGACTCGGAGCGGACACCGACAAGCAGTTGCCGATGACGTTGCCCTCCTCATCGAGCAGCGCACCACCCAGGGCTATTGACGAAAATTGAAGCATAGTCAGAAAGCTGAAATGATGAAGATAACGCCGGCGACGCACTCATAATTCCCTTACTAGCACGCTCGGCCACAAGCGTCTTGTGTGCCGCCGAAGCTTCCTCCCGTCGTGGTAAGGCATCCGGAAAGTAAGGCGCATAGCAAAGATATCTCTTCAAAGGGGCTGGCATGGCTGCGGTTGTTGTGAAGGTGAATCGGCAGTAATGCGACAAGTCTGATGAGGTGTGAGTGGGCTCAGGTAAACTATTGCCAGCGACAAGTGGCCGCTATATACTCTGCCACACCGTGGCGCACATCGCAACGCGGCCACCTTGGGTGGAGGGCGGGAGTGTAGCTGCGGGAGAGTCCGATCTCCAGTCAATCAAAGAAGAACCCCAAATACCCAAGCAGGCGTTCAAAAAGGAAAGCGTCGAGGCGTCGGCGGCCCTGGATCATCTTCCAATGGCAGTACTGTGCCGCCTTTCAATTCGGCAGACCACGCGTGAAGCTGTGCAGGTGCCCTTTGACAATCGCAGATACAGATGGTAGATATGACAATCACCGAGATCTGTAACGGAGGGCGAGCGGGATGGCAATGAACCACCGCCGACAGACGGACCGCGCAAGTCTGCCCACCTTCAACAACCTCTGAAAAGAAGTTTCAATGGGACCTTGCGGGTCCTTTGCATCTTCCTGAGCGTCTCTGGTGGTGACATCCTGGTTGATTATGATAATCTTGCTGATAAATCTGCAATCTGTCCCGGCCGATACGCCAATTTCATCGGGGTAGTTGCCAGGCGAGCCGGTGCACGGCCGGGTGAAGAAGAACGGCGCCAGCGGCACCAGGGGACGGACCGGCGGTCCGTCATTCGTACCGGAGCCGAGAATCGATTAGGTAAGTGTATGCTCCGGAATCGGGCATGGCGTCAATGAGCTGGCTCATTAATGTTGACTAATTTTCAACACTTGCGACGTGCCCTTCACACATCCTCGTCAAGCAGCATGTCCAAAGTATTCTTCGTGTACGCACCGGACTTCACCGACGAGGCGGCTCCGGAAAGGAGGAACAGTGTGCGCGCTGAGCACCTCAAGGTCGCTGCTGCACGCACCAACACGCGTGAGTCTTCTTCCTTGGAGCACCCTTCACCCGCTCTGAAGAACATAATTGGTGGTAGTTTTGGGTGGACCGATGGTTACGGAGGAAGGGAAGATGACTGGATCGACCATGTTCATCAATGCGGACTCCGAGGAGAAGGTTCGTGCCATAGTCGAGAGTGACATCTACTACAAATCCGGCGTGGTGCGTTTTCTCGATATCCCTTTCGAACATGTGATCTGACGCTTTTGCAGTGGGATCCCGCGAATATTGCGATATGGTGGTACAGGCCTGCTGGACCTCCCAAGGTGTAATGTTGCCCCTGAATTCGAGCGTAGGGAGCTGAGTTGTATGAGTGATGTACTGGAAGGAATAGCAAACGAGAAGGAATTAGAATTGATCATTACCCTTGTGAGGAGACCATCTTCACATCTTAGTCCTGTACATCGGGTCGTTCGCTGTCTCTTCATTCGCGTCGTTGGCACCATCGATTCATCCTCGCTCGAATCCCTATTCAGGCATCTCCGAATTTCGAAAACGCGCCTCCACTCTCATCCCCCGCCCGTCCATATATCAACTCAAGTAATTTCCACTTGCGCACGCGACTGTTCTGCTCTTTGTCCTTCTGAATACCTCGCCTTCATCTATCATCAACAGCAGAGTCATGTCCACAAGTCAGAAAACATTCTTTTGTTACATGCCTGACATGGCGGATGCAGCTCCCCGCCGCGCCCACATCCGTCCAAAGCATATCGCCGTAGCGAATAAACGGCGCGCGTCAGGCCAAATAGGTGCGTGCTCTCCTCTCATGACTCCCGTGGGCTTGACTGATCCTTTTGCGTTCGGCCGGAAGTGATGGGAGGCGCGATACTGGACAAGGCGGGGAACATGGTCGGCTCCGGCATGGTCCTCAGAGCGGAGACGGAGGAGGAAGCGTGGGCGGTGATCAAGGCGGATCATTACTGGGCGAACAACGTCGTGCGTCACACACTCTGGTAAATTATGGTCTACCATCCATTAACTAATACGTTGTAATGCAGTGGGATAAGGAGAAGATCATTGTTAGGCCGTTCAGAATCAATGGGCTGCCTCAGGCACAGGCGAAGCTGTGACCAGCTTCTGATGGTTGGCAAGAACCGTCTTCTGAAGCGGGCTGACGGGAGGGCTTCCCGACCTTTTTTTTGTTTACTATGGACTGTCATCATTGCTTGCTGGTACTTTGTGTTGTCCAATTTGACTTACAGCACTGTGTATTATCCCCACAATTTCATCTCTGCAACCCCTTTACGTTCTGGGCAAGTCCAGGTGGCACACCCGACGGTTCGACGGGCGGCTGACTGTCTTGCATACTTGGAACAGTATTACGGCGTTCCTCTTCCATGGACTGCTCTGCACTGACTCTCCATTGCGTGCACTTCACCGCAAGGCTGCTGAATCGCTGCAGGTATACAGACAAGCAGTGTTTCGGAGAAGAAATGTCGAATGCGTGACGCGAACAGTCCATGCATTCTGTCTCATCCCTCGTTTTCAAACAGAGTAGTTGTTATTCCAGCGTAGGGTTATATTTAAAGAACCAAAACAGGGGACAACACATTTGTCTATTGCTACGGAAGGCTACACACACAGAGGAAAGCCTTCGCCTTTTCCGCACCTACATGATACACGTATTCATACCAGGACGACGGAATAGAAAGGACCAAAAACCAGATGCCGCGTTATTGTACAAGCGTATTAGTGGGAAACCGAGATTGAAGAAGAAAGACCGAGACTAAAAGTATATCGAGACCGAGGAGTAAACCAGAGGTCGAACGGGGAGCAAAGGCAGAGAACGAACAGAACGAACGCAAAACACCAAGTCGTGTACAACTTCCGTTTTCCTTTCCGCGAAATCTAGTTTCCAAACATCAAATCGTCGTAGCTCGCGCCCACCGGGTGATTTTCATACATCGCTTGAGGGCTGAACGGATTACAAGCTTGTGCATGAGCCGTCGCTTGCCATTCTATCCCCGGTTGTGGGTACATCTGTCCGCTGGCAAAGATCGGCTGCATTGGCATGTGTCCCGAGCCGGAGGCAAGCGTCTGGAAGTAGGCACTCAACGACGGCGAGTGTACATTGTGTCCCCATATCACTCCTGCCGGGTCCATCTCCACGGGGGTAGATGGAAAGGACATTGTTCCTCTGGGTGCTGCGAGGATAGCCTCAGAGAGGGAAAGCGGGGTGGGCGCCGATCTGTAATGAAAATGCTCGTGCTCTGCAACCATGGGAGTCTCTTCTCGCTGGTCCGGGTCGTCCTCATCGATCATGTCGTCCTCGTCAGGCGCATTCGATTCCGTCTCAAGCTGCAATTCTTGACCGGCACCGCTAATGAGGGGCGAGAGCTGCACTTGGAACCCGCCCGTGCCGGGGTACTTTCCCGATGGCCCTAGGTAGACAGGAGAAGCAGCCTTGTCGCTCTCCCTCCGGCCAGCATAGTCTTCCATCATTTTCTCGAGCGTGCGCGAGCTCTGGATGGCACTCTGCCAAGACTGACCCATCTCCTGTAAACACCGGACACACTCACGTACGCCGTCGAGACCCTTCTCCTTGCCTACTACGCCATTCGCGTATGTCGCCGCGAGCAGATGCGTTGTCCCCGCTGTGAAGGCGATCTGAACAGCCGTGATCGGTACATATCGAAGGTCGTGGTACCGCCGCCACAAGCCGTATAACCGTACAATCTGGTGCGCAGCGCGATTGCAGAGCAACACGCTCGTGTCCTCTGGCCGGGCGCTGGCGATGCGCCTATAAAACGGACGGAGGAGGAGAATAGTGAGCCACTCATACGCAAGATGCATGGAGAGGATTTGAGCGGGAATCGACTGCGTTCCCACATGCGGAATGCGGAGCGAATTAGGCAGCTTGTCGTGCCAGTTTGTAAGTGCGAGGTGAAGGGCAGAAACGACGTTCCGGAGGGATGATGCTGGCTTGGGACCATAGATGTCCTCCATGATCCGGTAGGCGATTTGGCTCAATGTCCATGTGCACCGGAAGGTGTCGTACAGGCTTGTAGTGGCAGCTACTTCGTCTGCATTAGAAGGGTCGCGGATGAGGTGCGCAGGCAGTTGCTCGGGCAGATTAATCTGACGAGGGGGGAGCGAAGATGGCCGCCCAACGTACAGCGACCACCATTTGTCTTGCATCACCAATGAGGCGCAGGATAAGTCCCGCTCGAGGTTGTCTGTTTCTGTCAGTGGCCCGTTCTCCACCCAGCTTGAGGTGTCCAGGTCCAGCCCAACTGTGTTCGCATTAGCGATGTTCTCCTGTCTGGATCAAAGCACTCACTGGCATAAGACAGGCGGACAGCGGTGCCGAAATACATCCAGCCTAACCCTTGGTCTCCCTTGCCAGAATAGTAGCTCGAGAGGATGGTCAGACCATGCAGAGTGCTAAGCGTTGGCTTGCTGGCTTCAATATCGATGCAGACCTTTGCGCGTCTGGCAAACTTGTCGCGAACTTCAGGGCTGCTCAGCACAGGATCATCACTCCACGCTGTGGCGAGGGCGAGAATGGCATTGTGCAGCAGAGGCGAGTACTGTGCCGTCCTTTGGGGGTCTAATTCCTCCCCACGCGCTGCACGTTCCTCGTCCTGGGCGGACAGGGCCTCCAAGTCGCGCCAGAAGAGCGTAGGCCACACACGCACGGTCCAGCTAGTAAAATACTTGAAGCAAAGGTTGACGAGCTTGTCATGCTCTGTTCGGTCGATCCGGATGTCCCAGGGCAAATTGCGTGCCCATGTGGGAGGAGGGGTGCGGCCAAGTCGCTTACGTTCTTGGATTAACTCCTCGGAGACGTACTCCCCCAGCCCACCGGGCGGGGATGCCTCGCGCAAGATCTCGTATTGTGCTGGGAACCGGCTGGTAGCACCATAGAAGCTGATGAGGTCACCTTGCACCAGAGGGTCTTTTTCGAGCACAAGCTGGTGTTCGAGTTGCAAAACCAGCTCATCAGGATCCTCGGATTTGGTCGATGCGTCTCCACCCTCGGAAGGCGTGGGCGACTCCTTCCCCGAGGCGGGCGCAGTGGTGGAGACGCCGGCGAGCTCGGAGGAGCCGTCGAATTGGATACCGTTCTGCCGCAAAAGGTCCTCGAGGAACCGGATACGGTCATTGAGCGCGCGGACATAGGCGCGGGTGAACGCGCGGCGGGCATCTTTCTCCTGCGTCCATACGCACTATACCAAGAATCTAGGTTAGGGATGTCCCGAGTGCGGCGGTGGAGGTGACGCACCTCGTAGCCCACCTGGGCACAGCTCCTGCATGTACTCCCAGGCACACCATCACACTTGCTCTTGTTCCGCCTGCACCGTTCACAAGCCTTCTTAACGTGGGGGACGTGTCTTCCGGCGTTGGTGCCCTGTGTTGCAGACCCGTTGGCGGTGGCGGCTGCTGCAGCGGCAGCGGCAGCGGCAGCAGACTTGCCTTTCGAGACGGCCATTGATATAATAGATGAGTTTGGGGGGG